AATGTTTTCACCAATGATTTTAATATTTCTTGTAAGCTGCTTAGAGGTTTTATTATAATCATTTTGTTCAATAATAAATAAAATAAATTATACTGATTGAAGAACCAATCTCAGTATCATCCAGCAGAGCTCTGTGCGAAGCAAAGATGCCATTTCCACCAACTCAGCAGAAGATTGCCTTAATATTTTATTGACATTTGCATGCAATTATATTATCAACCCACTATGGGATGGTGGTTTTGTTTTGTTTTCTCAATAGATGCACGTCCTTTTGAAGTCTTTATTGAGGCCAAGTGCGGCAACCTGTTGAATTCTCTCTTTGAGAAACTGCTGACTGAAAACCCATACACCAGCCTTTGTAACAAAAACTGGAGCTTTGTTTGTTAGCTGATGGTGGGTGATAAGGGCAGAGCTGAGAGTGCAACTGGTTCCTAGAGAATGATTCACACTCTGCTACCCACTACAATTCAATGCAATGAGGCACTTGAAGACCTGTTTTAAGGAGTTGAAATTTTAATTAAATAGCGTTCTAATGGAAGAGGCAAACTCTGAGCATCTTCACTCCAATGAAGGCTGACAAGCTCTATGCTGTTTTTGAAACAAATTAATTCCCACTGTTTCATTGCGTAAGGAAGTCATTGGGCAAGAAGTTCAGACAAAAATCCACACACATGAATTGGCTAAGAGCTCATAATATCAGGCAAAATTAGTATTCAAAGCTGTCAGTTTCCATATAACTCAGGCAGCAATCCTATATTCACTTACCTTGGAGTAAGTCCCATTGAATTCACTGTCACTTCCATAACACTATTGGATTGCATGGACAGTATTCACAGCCTCTGCCTTTTTCAAAACTAGGGAAATTCATTTCCAAGAGATGGGCTTGCAGTAGCACCATCTGGTTTCAAGGCAACTATGTGTGCACGCTTCATTTTACTGACAAGGGGAAGTTTCTGTGATGTCTAACTGGTCCTCACTGGATTGGAATTTGTGGTGGTATCAGGAGAACATACTCCCAATTTTGCAGCCACATTGAATAAAAATATGTTGCGAGAGAAATATGCATCTAACACGTCACATTGCATTTAGGTTGCAGTGGATAGGATATAAAACCACAGGAAAATTAGGGAAAGGAATACACACAATTTTGTGTTGCAATCACACATACAGGTCCTATCCAAATATCCTATATTGTTCTCAGCTCCTAACCCTCTGCAGCTTGAGGAAGGGGGATATTTTTGTGTGTGGAAGGAAAGTGTTACCCCCCTTTCCCCAAAGTGTCATGGGCCCCATCCAAACCAGCTGCCTCTGTTCCTGCAAAGCGATTCTAAGCAAATTAAAACATGTCAGGTTATCTGATCACATGTCTCTCACATTGCATCTGGTTTTGCCCTCAACAAACCATTCCAAGGCACAGATAGCTCTGTAGGTAGTACTGTAAGGTGCACCAGAATGACATTCCTATTTGTGGCAGATGTTCGCCATACATATATGCCATAAAATATATTGCGCCACAGAAGCAAGACGAAGGCCAGTTCTGCATGATTCTGGTGAAACATTTCAAGGAACTGCTTGTGTGCCCCTCAAGGTATATAAATCTAATAAATAATAATAAATCAGTCTGATGCAATGAGTGGGAATGGAATAGGGTATCCAAAGTGCCCCCTTAACTTGAAAAATCCAAGGTTTTGGCTGAAATGTTTGCAAAAGGCTATTCTAGTTAGTAATTTGCATAATGACTTAGAGCTGATATGCACCCGCCTGGGCTCTGTTCAAAGAGCCTCTGATGGAAACATTTGCTTCTTAAGATATAAAACTAAAGGACACACATTGGTGTCTGCGTGTTCAAAGCTAATTAAACTATATTACTTTATTTTAAAATTACCTGTGTCAAATCAAGCAGGAAAAGCAGCTCTTTCATCCAAAACTCCTCCAAGATTCTCTTTCTACTTTAAATTGGGCTCTTGGCTGAAACAAACATATGCACCTAATGCTCTTCCCTCTACTTTGCTAGCCTTCTGTATAGACTGTAGTGAAAGAGGCTGATGTCATTTTTGCCAGCTGAGCAGAACACAAATTCTCTTTAAACTATTGCCATCTAGTGGACAGTAGTAATGAATACAGCAGGATTAATTTTGGAGGGACTAGCAAAAAAAGTTTAAGGCCTTTTCTGTTCCTTGAAGAATGTTTGAAGAGATGGGTTTTTGGTTCTGATGTATACCAAATAAGAGCTGACAATGGCAGCATTTAATATTGTGATACCTTTTATCCAACAGCACGGCTTTATCCTACTAACAAAGACTGAGAACAGGTTGGCATGATGACTAGCTTGTCTTCAGCATAGGACACATTATATTGAGTCTGATGTGACAAATCTGGTTGGCGCTATCAAGGGAAGCAAAGGAAGAGGCATTTATCAAGTCAACAATAGAAAATCCTTATTTTGGATAGGAGAAGCTTGTTTTCAGTAAGTATCTATGAAGATTATTTTCCATCAAAATACACTGGGCTTCCAGGTATTTTTCAAGAACTGCATTTGATAAAGATGAACTTTTAGCATCATTCTGAGGCTCTTTTTCTTCTTTTGCTTTTCCTAAGGTTTGGTCTCCCCACCCTTTGCTTAACAGAATAATAAAAGACATTTGTTTCAAGTAATATAATGAGACAGAACTGAGCAACCTGCTTCTTCTAGCAAATGCAGTCAGGCACAGTCCCAACCGCTGAGTTACAAACACCTCATTGCCACTGAAATGGTAAAGTTGCAACAGGGCTATACTATTTGTGTGGCTATACCACTTGCATCTCCCTTATACATAAAACAAAAAACCCCAATTCATTCCTGTACATAGAAAACTAGGTGAGGCTAGAACCCTTTTGCAGTAACATGTCATTAAGCAAGGAGAAATCTTTGCGCTGATGGAATGTTCTCCTTAGTGTTACGTTGAATACAACCCATAATATTTGTATACATATTTCTCAGACACTTTTCTATACAAGAGTACGCAGAGTTTTTTAAAAAAATCCCCCAAATCAGCATAAATTTACTGATGAAGTAAAATGGTAAAACAACAACAACAACACATTGTTAATAGATTGTGCTGCTTGCTAACGGGCAACAGGAAAAATATTTCAGAGGGTTCAGCAAAGAACATAAAAGTGCTCTTGTGAAAAACACCAAAGATAAAGGGATATAAGCATAGGGAAAGAGATAACGGCTTTTAAAAACAAGGCTTCATTTCCATCTGGAAGCAACAAGGGGGAAAAGCAAGGATGTTTGTTTCCGCCTGCTTGGTCTTTTTGACTTGACTTGTCCTTTGTCACCTCACATTTTGCTAGGACAGGAACTATTCCAAATCTAACTTGGGGTACTTTATTTATAGGTTTTCTATACACAAGCACAAAAGTCCCAAGCGGAAAAGGCAGCCCACCTCCTCCTCCTGCATGCTTGGCACATGACTGGGTCTGGCACTACTTTACACCATCTCCTATCACAGCGGCGTAACTCCAGCAGAAGGATGCAAAGATATTCTAGTTCCTCACAAGCCTATCAGCATCCTTTCAATGCCCCTTTTATTATTGCCTCTCACACATTAGCTTTTCCCCTTAGCTACGTCACATTCCTTCATTTCCTAACCCTTTATTACTGCAGCCACTGTATATCTGAATGCCATCTATATTCTACCTCAGTTTAAGGCTTAAGCACCACTGGCTATGGTTAGGAGTAGGACAAAACAGCACAGAGGTAAAAAAAAAACAAGTCAATTATATTAGTAAAATATAAATAGTGATATTTGTATGTATGCGTGGTTCCTTAACTAGCTTCGCTTCTTTAGAATTGCTTTAAATAAGAATGTTTACACTGTATGGTTACTGTCACTTTAAATGAAATAGCAAATACAACATAGGATTCCTTTCAGTAATCGTGTGAGCTTGGTCCTACCTGTATTCAAACCCAAAGCTAATTTTCCTGATGCCACTCTTCCGCAGTTAATGCTCATCGACTGAGCACACTTGCAGTCTTCAGTCAAGTCCATGAACACTTCCCTGTTGAGTCTCTCAAGTTTTTTTCAGGACTTCTGCAGCCTTCCCCAACCCCCCCTGCCCAGAAACTGTTGTTACCTCAGTTTCTCCACAATGCTGCTGATTCTTGGGGGCAGAACTCTCCTGAATGCTGCCTCTCTTCCCCGCCATTCTTCTTCCACAGCTTTAGCCTGTGATTTCAGCTCTCAGATCCTCTCAGGTTTCACAAGCCACTCCGAGCCACTCCTTAAGTCCCCAGGTGTCCACTGTGTGACTCAACTTCCAGCAGATGTACAACAACCACACACACTTTCCCCCGTCCCTTCTTGACCAGATCCCAGCCTTTTATTCTCTCAGAAGGCCCCCACCTACCCCCAGCTAATAATTTCAATTTGGGTGGAATTCTGCAGTCTTACTGGCCTACAGTCAACCAACTAAAATTGATCAGATTCTGATGCCTTGGCTCAAGTATGTGGGCCATATCCCCCAGTCGGACACACTGCAATAACTGCTGCTCAGCCTCCCTGCAGATACATGGCATCTCCCGACATAAACTCATGATGACAGTTCACAGTTAATCTTCTACATTAAACTATGAATAAATCCATTCTGCAATGAATAGACAACTCACAACCATAAAGGAATAGCTAACCTTAACAGTGGAGTCTATTTTGCTAAGATTCCTCCTCCCCTTCAAAAAATAAAAATAAGAAAATGTCCAGCCTTTGGCCTCAAGGTGATTGTATTCTCCTGCTGTGGGGTGATGGTGGATGGTTTTAAGGCAACTGCTGTTTTTATCAGCTTCTCAGCAGCTTATTTTGGATTGTTTTTCTGCAATAACCTACAATGTAATAAACCAAGTGTGTAAATATTCCTGGCATCAAAATTGTCAGTACATAAATTGTGCCATATATAAATTGTCCTAATAGTTAGTCTGCAAGAAATAACTCTGAAGCAGTCTATGTTACATCAATATATTTATTGCCTTAGAGGTTGAACTCTTTTGTATACAGAAATCTAAATCCATCAAGCAAAAATAAATAAACTGTACATTCATTTTTAGGTTCGTAGCAGCAATTTCTTCTCAGAAATAAAACAGGAAGACAGATTAAACAGCTTGCATGTTCCTTCCAGTCCGAAGTACTCTGGTGGGTACTTGCAACTAAACCGGGGTTTAGTTCAGAGTATTTTTGTGTGTATTATATGCCATATATCTATCCGTTCTGATCTGTTGAATTGCAAAGCTAGAGAGCTAATGCCTGACAAAAAGGGTGTGTAATAGGTATTTTTACTGTATTATTTTTTACATTTTACATTATACAAAAAATGCAAACGTTACCCCTTTATTTACAAATGAGAACAGTCTCAGAGGGAAAATAGACACAGAAAGCAAAGGCATAGAAGAATCAAACCCAGTGATTGAGGCTAAAAGTATACCTGCACTACAAATTTAAATCAATTTTGCGCCTGCTAAGGTTTTTAAGCAAGGAACCTTGTGAACTGAAGTTCACTTTGAAGTCACTAAACTACAGTTCCCAAGGTTCAGTGGGAAGACCAGGCCACTTAAACCAATTTGTAATGTAGTTCAGGTTCACTTATCTAAGCTTTAAACGCTGAAGCCAACCTTTATCATTAAGCCAGGAATGTATCAGTACAGCAGTCAGCTGAAGAAATTCCTAACAATGCCAAGAGAGGTTGGACAAGTATTTCTGGTTGTTTGTTTCTCAGCCTAAAACTGATCTTACCAAGGAGATGATACTAGGATACAGCTGCACTTTGCTCTGAAGTAGTGAAAATCAAACATAATTGCGAAAGGAGCCTGGAGCAGCTTTCAGGGTCCCCGCCCCCTTCTCCTGAGGGAAAGCTTCAATCTTCTGAGAGAAAAGGGAAGAAACAGACTAGCTATGTTTGTACACAACCTGATCAAACTACTTTTCACTCTAAACGAATACAAGTCTGACAGAGTCTCAGGTGTACTAATCCTACTCCTTGTTGTGAAGCTAATAAAGCAGGTATCCAGAAACATGATAAGCCTTTTTCTCTTTCATGACAGGCTTTCACCTCTGACAGCCAAGAGCAATAGCTCTTTTCAGAGACATCTAAAAAGGGCTTGTATACATCAAGAGACAAGTTATTCACATTACTCCTCCACTAAAGTAGGCCTCTGACATCCATTTTGAGGAAGAGCTTCAACAAGGCACTGGTGTATTCCTAGCGCTGAACAGAAATGTAATTCTCTGCATCTTCATCCCCAACAGAAATTCTGTTGCAAACTGGGGAAACAGAATTAAAATATGTTTCAACCACTCCCAGAGTATGCTTTGAGCTGCGTGGAATGAGTAATGAGTTTTGACACATAGCAGATTTTTACTGATGGAAGTGTAAATAGGCACTATTGAACTCATATTGAGACAAAAATTGTCAGAGCAATATAGGAATTATTTTTTTCTCTCTGGGTATTTTCTCTCTTTACACAAAAAATCCCCCAATGGCAGCAAGTCTGCAGCAGAAAAAAGTTCGACTTCCGAGACCTCCATTCAGCCTGTCACTTACATAGTTGCAACCTTCAGAGCCACACATACCTGCATTTGCAGGTTTGCCAACTCTTCACAAAAGTTGAAAAGGGAAAGGCTCAGTACGTGTAATTTTCTTGCCGCAGTGATGGAACAAACACCACCTGCCGCACAGTAACCGAGGGTTTAAATACCAAAACCTCTACATGGAGGTCTAAAAAAAACCAACCACTTTGCATATTTGTGGTAGTGTTCTACAGGTGAACATTTGTCACATCACTGGTATGGAAATGCTGCAAACACCTGCGTGACTCACACATGGGTACAGAGTTTTCAAATGTCATACTTGCTAAGTAAAATGTGGCCACACAGACCTTTTTGGTTTTGATTCTCCATAACTTTCTGTTTTCTTCTTTTTAATTGTTGGATTGAATTGGAGAGTTGTGTGTTTCATATCAATCAGGCAAGAAACTAACAGAAAAATCTGGAAGAGGAAAGCTGATGAAGAATATGAAAACGTCCCCCTTTCCAGACATTCGTGCCTTACTCATCAGGTCTATATAGTGGCTTTGTCTCAAATTTATGAAGTTACTATCTTTGGAAAGTGGGGGCACTTTACGTTTGACATCTACACTTTGCAACTTTAGAAACCAAGTGGCAAGACAGGATAGGAATTCTAGTGAGAAACTCTTGTCAATAAATAAATAAATAAATAAATCCTGAGTTAATTTGCAAGGTGTGGGAAGAATAGTAAGATAGGCAGATATGCTTCCATAAGTACTACGTATACAAGGCGAATTGCAACTCCAAAACAACAGCTTGGAAATTAAGCTTAGCACCTTTGATCTAGAGGCTTCAAGTAACAATAGAAAACGTGCAAGTCAGTAAGAGTCCGAAGATATTTTTAAGAATTCAAAAGAGAGTCTTGTGAAATTGACAGTGGATATGGGACCACAGACAAAGTTGTGAAAAGGATTCTGGAAGACAAAAGCAGCAGCAATTTAAACACTGAAGCATGAGGTAGTAAACTTACAGAGGCAGACTTATGAAAGCATTTGGCATTCCAAAGAATATGGATAAAGACCAGTGAAGGGAAAGATCATTCAGGAAAAAGCAAAAAACAAAATTTGATGGTCCACTTAAATTTTTATTTTGGGGGCCTAACCTTAGCGAAGTAGAATGTGAAAGGGCAGGCATCTCAAGAACAGACATATGAAGCCTACCCACCCCCCAAAATAGAAAATGTGGGATATATAGATATAGATAGATAGATGATAGATAGATAGATAGATAGATAGATAGATAGATAGATGGGAGAGGTGTCTAGGTGAACTTTTTAAGCTAAAAGAAAACTGTCTGGAGCACAGAGTCAAGAAACTGTACTTTGAGGAGAAAAGAGCCACAGAGGAAGAATCAAGAACAGACACAAAATTCGTTAAATCCAGCCACAAGAATCTCTTAAGATCATTTTTGTGATAGCCTTTGCAGCCAAAGGTGACTGGGAAAAGTCAAACTGGAAAGGGCAAAAGGTAGGCTGCTAAGGGAATTCAGAAACTAGTATTTCATGTCCCTGGGTTTCTTTTTGAAGCAAGGAGGGTGAAAGAGTGAAAAACATGTTTGTGACATGCATTTTAAATTGCAGCATGGCAAAGAATAACCCAGGGAAAAATATAACATCATCTGAGACATTTTGCATATCCCATTCCCACTCAATGGGGAAGCTACACATCAAGTCAAGAGGTTATGCTAAACATAGCAAATGGCGGGTGAACTCCAAGTTTGGCTCCTTTTCCTTTCCTAGCTCTTGTACCTTTCTTTCAGTCTGTCGTCTTGAGCTGTACTAGGTTGACAATAAAATGGCTAATTCCTTGAACCTCACAATACTCAGGGCAGAACTTCACACAGTGGATCATTCCATGCTTCTTTTTCACAGATTTTGAAGCAGGCGGGCTGTGGGGCACAACCCTTTCTCCTCATGCTGTTTTCTCCACTGAAGATTGCTTTACTCTCCACTGAGGAAAGCTTTGGGACTCCCCAGGAAAAACAACATGAACAAAAAGGGTTAAGAAGCCCCTCTTCTCCACACTGGCCTTCCTTTTCAAACTGCAGACTCAGTTTTCGGGGGGTGAGCATGACATTCAGAGCTCCTCCAAATTGGGGCCATTTCACCAAATATTTTCTGAAGGGAAATAATTCTCCAGATGATTTGGGAGAGGGCTCATCATTAGCAGCAGCAGATTTTCTTTCTTTCTTTCTTTCTTTCTTTCTTTCTTTCTTTCTTTCTTTCTTTCTTTCTACAAAAAGATCCTGTGAATCCCACATGATGCCATAACTCTGCAAATTTCAAGGCACTGAGTGGGGAAAAAATGGTTGCCTCCAAACACAAAAGTTGGAACAATCATCTTCCCTTCCCACCTTGAAACCTACCCTACTTGAGCCTACCCAGCCCATTTTGCAGCCCATAACTCGGCTGGAGAAATAAGAGGAAAGAAACTGAGCTCCACCCATGAATATTTTTCTTTAAGCCTGAAAAAATGATAATCACAAACTACATGCAATTGTCTAAGGGTTACTATCGATGGTGGAAAACGCTATTCATTAGAAGATTGCTAGATTATTCTAGAAAATCAGAATTGACTTACAAAATGTAACCTATATGTTTTGAGTTAGAAATCTGTGTTTTTGAGCTTAATAATTCTACAGAGACTTTTAAAATGCCACCCAATACAATAGTAATTGCATTCCAACACAAGCAATGGCAGCAAAGTCCAGCTATTGGAGTGCTACATACACACACTCACTGTAAACAGAGGGCACTATTATACAGCACCATAAAATCTCTCTTGGCAGACACTTTATATATATATGTATTGTTACAACATGTTGCACAGCTTCTTCTGATGATTATTGAATCATAAGGGGGGAAACAGTTAATAATACTGATTTTCTAAATAATCACCATGCATACTTTTCAGTAGTCTTAAAACATGCTTCTCAGGAACAATCAAACTAGCATTAGAGGCATGTCATTCAGAACCTAGAAGCAATCAGGACTACGCTTGCAGGTATCACAAGCAAATTATTCTCTTCAATCACCATCAGGGAAATCAGCCACTTCTATAATGTATAACTGTGCCTAAGAATAAAACACCATCTTCTCTATTTTAAGCAACTTATGTACATCGCCTTAAGTCTTTACCGCTGCAACACACAAATGGATGAAATGAACAATAAAAAAAAACCTGGATTGCAATTTCTGGGTTGTTCCAACCCATTTTATAATACATACATTTAGACAAGCTCCAGGTAGAGAAGTTACATAGTTAGCTACATTCACTGTTTGCTGGTGGCGCGGGGTGGGGTGGGGAAGCAGGGGAAGATGGTTTTAAGAGCATAGGCTGTGTAAATACTGAAGAAAAGGCCAAATACTGCCTTTGATCACAAATGAGTTAGAGAGAAAAGGCATCCCATCAGCAAATAACCACTTGATTCAGTTTCCATTCCCTTTTTGTTCAAGACACCAGAGGGCACTGTGATTCAACTCTGGAATACCTCCCCATGCATGCTATTAGGAGGAGGGAGAGATGAGATCCAAACAAGTCCATACCTAAAGCCAATCCTCCTTTTCACACGCTCTGAATTCCATTGCCATTTTTTATAAACGTGCTTTTCCATGATTTCAAATTACTAGCATTTCACAATGAAGTACCAAGGTCAATGGCATACTCTGCTTCTTTTGCAGCCACATAGCAAAAACAGAGCTACTTGTTTCAGACCACATGGGTTTTTAATATACAGCAATACTTGCCCCACAGCATCACAAATTCTGGAAGTTCCACTGTTCAAGGACTTAGGAGATCTTTCTCTTTGTGGAGGCAGCAGCTTCCTTGGCCAAATTTTAGTCCAAACAAGCTGGTAGCTGGCTCAAGATGCTCTTGCCTTCCTTCCTTTTAGTCAGAGGAAGAGAAGAAGTTACAAAACAATTCACAAAGTAGCATGCAGCTGCCACCACTGTTCATGCTGCTGGCTGAGTAATGGCAATCAGATCAATGGGCTAGATGAACAAGCAAGACATTCTCCCCCCGAATAAAAATCTGGTTTATGTGTCGTGTGAAAACTTGCTGGTAATCCACTTTGGGCCTCCGCTTTTTCCGTGATCGACCTCTTGTGCCACCTGCACTCGTCCCCTCTGTTTGGGAGATTCTGCCAGACAGCTCAATCTCTTTCCCATAAGTTCGAGGCAGGCTAGAGCTCCGTGTCCTCTCTTTGCTCGAGCGCTTCTTTGCCCCTCGTTCTTCTGACCTCCTCCGACCTGACTCGGACTTCCACCGAAGTGTCCTAGGATCACATGGAAGAGCTGGCAGATCAGCAGCCATCTTTGAAACGTCCTTCTTAACCAGGGACTCTTGCAGCTTGAGTCTGTCAAACAGCTACAGGGGGTGGGAGGAAACAAATATGTCATGAAAGCTGTCATCTCATTCTGTAATCGGAAAGCATATGGCCCACCACGGAGGGCCAAACTAGAGAGTGGGTGTTTTTTGCAAGAGGAAAAATACACAGCAATGCTTTTCATGTACAGTACTTTCTGTTGGCTGGATAATACAAACTGTAAGCACTCTAATGCTAAGGAGATTACTTATTTGGCAGTTATGGAGTTATCCAGCTTCCATGTTTTCTGTGTGCATGACTAACGCACCTCACGCATGTACACATAGCAGATTTGGCCTTGTGACAAATGCTACTGCTATGACTTTGTACTGCTCTGTTAAATCCTGGGGCTAAAAGCAATAGATCAATCTGATTTGAGCTGTAAGCCCTCTGGGACAAGGACTGCATCATTTCAGTCTTTGTGTGAATAGAGCCTAGTTCATTGCTGGTGTTGAATAAATGTTAAACAGTAAGTGGTACTAGTGGATACATTTTGCTAGATAAATCTGCTGACCACTGGTCATGAAGAGCAATGGCTAATGGAGAACTTACACATGGATGCTCGTCATTTTAGGAAGCTGCCCATGTGAAAAGGCTATCAAGGGCATAAGCATAGACAGAAGTTTCCTCTTCCTTTAACAGTGTTTCCCAAGGAAGCAGGTTGCAAAGCAACAAGTCCTAAGCCATCAAGCACGTGTATACCAGTTGCAAGTAAAAAAAAATTACACTGTCTGCCACCTATAGCTGAAGCTTGCAAAACACATCCAGTATCAAATATTTTTAATTATGTTTTGTAGATATTTATAGTTTGCTTTTATTGCGTTCCATATGTTGTAAGCCACCTTGTTAACATTTTATGAAAGAGTGGATTAATGTTGCCAAGTGTGCCAAAAGATAAAGGTTTTGGAAAAAGAAATCTCTACCCTTGGCCAGCAACTTTATAAGTTCTTTACAAGGTAAGGGCTGGAAAGTGGGAACAGGGCCCACTTTTGCTGCTCTATCCATTTACCTGACATTAAGAAATGAGCTAGCACTCCAGCTTAACCTTAAGTCTGTTTTGAAATAAAATACACCCTTAGTATGTGGGAAATTGAGCTTATAGGCTTCAATTTAGTGCACTTGCACCAGCCAACTACAAGGCTGACCCAAGACATTTTGCTGTCTGAGGCAAAGAACAAGATGCCCCCCCCCCATTGCATGTACAGAATCCAGCTGGAATGGAAATTAGCAGGCTAGCTTGGGTAGGCCATGGTGTGGCACACACAGCTCTCCCTTCCAACACCTTGCCACCATTCTCTTCTCCTCCATGTCTGCTGCCTCACTCTGCCTACTCTGGCAACCTAAAAGCAACAAGGCAGGCCAATAATTTGATTACAACACTTTATATAGCTACAAAATTGTATCTTCATTCAGAGTCAAGTGGCATACAATATATACAAGGTAACACCAACTAATGTGACTTCAGAGAATTCCCCAAAGTAAAGGATTTTTTCAATGGTGTATCAAACAGAGAACGATTCAAGCTTGAGGCAACATGCCTTCCAAAATAAGTATAAAGTCCCAACCACAGCACGGATGCACCTGGTTATATCCATGACTTATTCATATATTTAGCAGTGAACATGCTGAAAGAAGTTGATGCTCCCGAGGCAGTAGCAGGACAGTCCTTCCTGGATAACCGACTGTTTCAAACTTTCTTCCTCAGCAAATAAGAGGTACGAGAGGGTACATAGGTTACAATGGTTCAGCTTTCACTACTAATTAGTGACTCTGAATGAAGATCCAATTTAGTAGCTATATAAAGTGTTGTAATCAAATTATTAGCCTGTCGTGTTGCTTTTAGGTTGCCAGATTTTTCTGTTCGCAACACAGGGGATCTTTGCTGTCACTCTGCCTAACAGCAGGGCTGGCCCAGAACAACAAACAAGCGGGAGAATGGCTACTTACCCTGGTGAGAGTCAACTGTGGCTCTACATAGAAAGCTTTACCCAGCACAGGTTTTCGATACGTCTCATCTACGTCTGTCAGGGCCTAGGGCAAGGGAAGCAGAAAGAAAATATCAAGGCAGGCTGTGGCTGTATATGGCATTTTTGTCATGTAACTTTTGGGGCCTGGGTGCAGAGAATTAGGAATTAGCATTATCCAGCTTACACATTACTCCAATAATTTAATCCTTTCCAGGTTGTTGTTTTTTATAAAGACACTGCTTACAATTATATTTTTTAAAAAGAAAAACAGAAGAAAGCACAAATTTAAACAGGATACCTGCAGAATTACAATTACAAAATGTTTGCACATTTCTTTTCATCTTCTCCTTAGCCCTTTTCAGAAGTGCTTTGCATGCATGCCTGCCTGCTTGCCCCACCCCTAACATCTCCAGGGGCTCCGCGCTTCCAAGTTCCCGGGTTCAGTACAAGAGGAGTCTGTACACATAGACTTCTCCATATGAATGAAAGCCCTGTGCATTGGGGCTCCTCCTTTTGAACTTCTGCCAAACATGAAGAGGTTGGGGGGGGGGCTGTGTTAGAGGGCGCAGCCACTTGCCTATTGCCCTTCCCTATTCTTCTGAAGGTCTAAGTCAGTTTGGTTAGGATTCTGGCCTGGTGATGCAAATAAAACTTTTTCTCTGATTCTGTATCAAGTTTTGTGCTTACACTTGCAGCTAGCACTCTAGACGGGTGGCACATTCAGCTCGTGTCTTAATTCTAACTCGTCAGCATCCAGTTCGAACTAAACTAAAAAGCCCTTGCAGAGTTAGCATAACACGGAAGGAACCTTAACAAAAAGATCACAAACTGCTGTGCATGTGGGAGAGAGGTCAAGAGAATGGCAGGGGGGGGGGGGACGACCTTAATGCCAGACGACTTGGGGTTCCAGTCAAACAGATGACTACTAGGGCTTTTGTTGCATATTTTAGGGAGATTTCTGCTTTCACCCATACATTTTCAAAGACATTTTGTGCGTGTCTTTCACTTAGCAACCAAGAAAGTAAAGGAGGTGGCAAAGATCTTGCGGGGGGGGGAATGGGGGGCATAAAACAAGAGAAAGAAAGAGAAAGTTAAGTGAGAACAATCCAACACAATTAGCTCAGCTTGTGTTAACCGAAGACAAGACTCTGAAGAAACACTCTCTGGTCAACAGGGTGCAAACAGGGTGCAAGACTGTTCCACTGATGCTTTGAACTGACCAGATAAGAGCCAAGACTCACTTCTACCTGGAAACTAGAGGATTGTCCATACCCCTTTGCTGAACATGCCATCTGGTTGAAGTAACCCTTTGCCAATTGGTAATTAGCTGTAAAATCATAGAGAGGGGGTGACAATCCTTACCATATTCCAGAACTTGTCAAATGCAACCAAGAACCCACTGCAGACTCCACGAAGTCCTTTGAAAGTTCGGACGTGGACGTTGACTTTTACACCATCACGGACGCATCGGTGAAGCTCCCCAAGCGGACTGCCTTCGTGAACTAGAATAAATGTAAACTGCCATTACTTTTTACTGAAACAAATGCCATGGAGAATAAAACAAAACCATTCACTGTTTTTACTCAAAGCATTACAGTGAACTCTGCTTAGGGAAAATGTCACCAATTTATACTCTCATACCAAGTACCCACTCAGCTGCAATGTCTTGACTAAATTCCTGTACAGCAGGAATAGGAAAGCTTTAGCCCTCCCATTATCCTCAGCCATTAGCCATCCTGGCTGAGTCTGATGGAAGTTGAGAGTCCAACTACATATGAAGGGTCATAGGTTACTCTAGTCTACAACTTGCTTTGGGGGAGATCTAAGAAACAAACTTGCCCTGTTTGCACCAATACTTTTTAACTACTTTTCACTTTTGCCATGATAAAACAAGTTAGTCTTTAAAGTGTCATGTCTGAATGCAGTTAAGGAATAACAAATTTAGCTACGCTTTATAACACTACTGAAGGCTTCAGTTTTCTTATGTCATAGTAACAACATATAGTGTGGTACCTCGGGTTACAAACGCTTCAGGTTACAAACTCCGCTAACCCGAAAGTAGTTGCTCTAGGTTGCGAACTCTGCCCCAGGATGAGAACGGAAATCGTCCGCCAGCAGCAGGAGGCCCCATTAGCAAAACCGCGCCTCAGGTTAAGAACGGTTTCAGGTTATGAACGGACCTCCGGAACGCATTAAGTTCGTAACCTGAGGTAACACTGTATAAGGAAAATTGGTCAACCTCACCTAGCTATTAAGATTTACAACCCACAAAATCCCAGTAAATAATATAAAGTGGAACTCAGGCTTATTTAAATCAGAACCAGTATCTGCAAGGTCAGTCTTGTCTTATTCTGAACACTGAGCTCCATGGGCTCAAAGCGTAAGACTTGCAGAAAATGATCGAGGTTTCACAACTCTTGCACATATCAGTTTGTTCTTTAGTCCTGTGTGTTTTCAGGAATGCTTATCTGTGGAATATTTTGCTAATAAAGCACTCTGATCCCGTCCTAATGGCACAGAATGGCCTATTCAACCTCTTATCAATCATATCCAGCTGGCATAGTTCCCTAACCCTATCACCACCAAATACCAAGAGATGCTTCTACACTCTTATGATGATTTCTCCAGAGGAGGAAAAACCCTGTGTTAGATTTGTCTCTGCAGCTCATAACCATTCTGTGAACATCAAAAACTATTATGCTCTGCATGTAGCTATTATTTTTCTGTGGCTTAAAAGCAATGCAGATGCATTGTCAATCATTTGTGCAGTCTAGGAGGCCATAATTACATCCCTAATAGTTCAAAATGGATTTTCCCCCCAATGTAAAGTATGTGTTTAATACCCAAATTCTAAAGGATAATTAAAAGGCTACTGGGGGTTGTCACCATACAACATAAATATTTTTAGTAGATAATCACTGCCTCTGTAACAAAGTGCCAATCATCAGCATGGTTCCTGTGGCTTAATTTACGGTATACAAGAAAATGATCTGTACCCCATAGTTTGATGGGCAACTATAAGCACACATAGTAGTCACTTGCCTTAATGGGACTACAAGACCGGCAACAAAAACGTATCAGAACATGTTTAAAAGAGCTGCAGTGGCTACTGGTCTATTTCTGGATTCAGTTTAAAATGTTGACTTTCAATCTTTAAAGCCCTAAACAGTCTGGGAGCCTGGGACCTGGCCATCTAAATAATGGCATTCTTTAAAATCAGCCTCAAAGGCCCTTCTCCATGAACATCTGCCTTTGGAGGGTAAGTGCCTGGCTACAAGAGGGAAGGTCTTTTCAGTGGTAACACCCAAATTTTGGTCACCCCCGCTAGACAAATATGCAAAAGCATCAGGTCAAGTTCATCCTGCTTTCCACTGTTTTAACAATGCCTGATACTCTTTTAAATGCCTGTTATTTTAATGGCTTTGCCTGGTGTTTTTTATGGCTTTTTCTGATGCTTTCATAGTTAGCTTAAATGTGTGTGTGTGTGTGTGTGTGTGTGTGTAAGCGGCAGTAAGGTATGAAAAACGCCTTCTAAGTAAAACACACACACACAAAGATATTCAAATAATACTAAGTAGAAAGCAAAAAAAAACATGTTAGTACTACAGTCGTACCTTGGATTTTGAAAAGCTTAGTGCTCAAACGTTTTGGCTCCCGAACCCCACAAACCTGGAAGTGACTGTTCCGGTCTGCGAATTATTTTTGGAAGCCAAACATCCAGCGGGGCTTCCATGGCTTTTGATTGAGTACAGAAAGCCACAGCTTGGTTTTCGAATGTTTTCAGAAGTCGAACGGACTTCCGGAACGGATTCCGTTTGAGAACCAAGGTACAAATGTATTCCATGAACTCTTGCGCACACAATAGGAGTCTGCACACACTGCAGCACCAACATGGTTCAGGGTGTTAAATTACAGCTCAAGAAACATAGGGAGGACGCAGGCTGTGATATATAAACACCAAAAAGCCATATAAAAGTCTTAAGAGGAGTTCACACAAACACAATAGCTCCTCTAGATTGTGGATAATTTTTATTGTGCAACACTCTTCTGCTGTGTCAAGAACAGCCCTCCCATGAGTGGAACAAGCTTTCTGCATCTCTGTATCCAAGCCATTCACACATAAGCCAGTCTAGTAACAACGTAGCTTATCTAGCATTCTTCGTCTTGCACACCAAATCTCCTGGATAAGCAAACTATGTAAACATGAATGCCAGACATGTAAACGTACATGCCAGACATCCAACAGAGTGGGACAGTACTAATGCCTTATTTATGCTCATAAGCAAAGCAAAAAACCCTGACCTATAAAAAATCAAATGATGACATTGACACCTCGGATTATAGCATGTTGCAAACTGGCATGAATACTAGAATTGTCCTCGCAAAATATCAACTCAAAACTAATGTTTCCATTAGCAAGTGAAATTGAGAGTGACCTTGAAAGATGGCAAGATTTGAAGCAGGGGTAGCCAACATGGTGCTCTCTCCATATGCTTAGGGCTACAATTTCCATCATTCCTGATGACTGACCAAGGCTGGAGCTGATGGGAACTGTAGCCTTAAACATCTGGTGGGAACCACGTTGGCTACTCCTGGATTTAGGATCTTTACAAATACAGTGGTGCCTCGCAAGACGAAATTAATCCGTTCCGCGAGAGTCTTCGTCTAGCGGTTTTTTTGTCTTGCGAAGCAACCCTATTAGCGGCTTAACGGATTAGCGCTATTAGCGGTTTAGCGGCTATTAAAGGCTTAAAGGCTTAGCGGATTAGCTGCTAAAAGGCTATTAAAGGCTATTAAAGGCTTAGCAGATTAGATAAAGGGGGGGGGAAAGCGAAAAAAAAATCTCAAGACTTGCAAGACATTTTCGTCTTGCGAAGCAAGCCCATAGGGAAATTCGTCCTGCGAAGCAACTCAAAAACGGAAAACCCTTTCGTCTAGCGGGTTTTCCGTCTTGCGAGGCATTCGTCTTGCGGGGCACCACTGTATGACAGTCCTTTTGGGATATAAACAGTATCAGTTTCCCTGCTCCAGCAATCCCCTTCCAGGCTCTAACGTTAGGATCAATTTACAGCATGGAGCTAGGTCATAGGATTGCAGATCTTCACTCCATATCCCTTATGGCTCCTCTAAGCAGCGTAGAGACCCACTACTCACAGCATGACGACTGAGCCCCAAGCAACAATGGCTTCTAAACTTTATGTGCCAGGGAATAATTACTCACCATAGGAAGACCCTTTCTGGCACTATCGCTTTCTGGTTCTCCAGCTCTATCCATGTGCTGTAAAGACTTTTGGGGAGCTGAAAAATCAGCATAATCTCTTCTCTATCTTAACAGCTAAACAGCTATATTTTTATGCATGGGAGAGACCACACTATTATTTGGGTTCTTCAATCATTCTTTGGTCTTTCACAAAAGCAGAGAAAATAATTGTTATTCAAGGCTTAAAAACAAGAAATGAATTTAAGATCTCTTCCCATGCAGATTATGTAGCTTTATCAGTCTTGGAGCCTATGAAGTTTCAGAGTTTTATTAAGGTTTATTAACTCTGTAATGCTTCCAGCTACAGAATCAATGAATCCAAATCAGACTTTTTGCAGCTTAATGAAGGATCAGAAAGAGGCTGAGTACAATAATTCTGTGATATTCTATAGTCTGAGTTTAAGAAGCTACAACTAATCTTGGTACTTTCTTGGTAAATCCTTTTTTTAATTAGTAATGAACTGATTACTGTTTTTTTTTTATCAGTAATCAACAAAATTAAAGATGATTTTCAGAAAAGGGGCACATGTATTTTCTGGCTAGGAAGGATTGCCTCTACCAAACAACCTATATGTATCTATCGCCAATCATACTGGAGAAAACAAAAGCAAAATAAAGAAGTAAGACGTCCTTTAAATAGCATGGCTAGATCCATGGGCATCAATGAGTTAAGTCTGCATAAGATAAGCTCTGCATGGATAGCAATTCAGTGACCCAATAGTAGATTGCTGTAACATAAACTGGCATGAACACTACAGGTAAACCTATCTCGTACGTTGAAAAGCTTGGGCAGATGCTCCACTCAAACAACTATAGAAGGTCAATATTTTGTCAGGATAACGCCAATGTAGACAGCATGTGGTCAATGCTGCTGCCCATGGTTATATATGCTCAGTTTATTATTTACTTGTTGGATACAGAAACAGAACACATATTTGTTCCTAAAACCATCTACTTTAAAAGCAAGTGGCTAGCAATCCAAAGTGAGGAAAGAAGATTAGAGGTTTTATGGTACAACAACATCTGGGCCACATACCAAGTCAGCATGTAAGAAAACCTTAAAGACAATGGAAATTTGTAATTTAAGGCCAAACTACATTAGACTGTTGTAAAGTGTCTTTGGGGGATGGGTGGAATAGGCTGTATGCCTGAGACAGGATAAAATAACAACTTGAAAAAAACTCCTCTCCTCTTTTTGTTCACAAAGTCTCTCTGCTGGAAGAACAAGCCTTCTGTGTGTGGAGGAACACAACTGCATACAACTCTATATACTTCTTTTTGGCCCTAAGGTTCCCAAAGCAGTGAACATAGTTATCACTTTACATTTGGTTAGGAATCACGATCTATTTGCTATTTAAGTGAAATTTACTAGCCAACCTTTTCAACTCTTTAGCCTGAAAAATGGAAACTCATCGCATCAATAACAAACAACACTGTACTTGTTCAATTAAGACTTGAGATCTAATTACTGTATTAAGATGCATGTAAACTGTATTTCTGACAGTCATCTGGCTCTCGGTACAGGTATTCCAAACCATAATGGAAATCACAATCCCACTGAAATAAGTGGGAGTTTTGCAAAAGGACTTCGTGCATAATCTCAGAACAATCATCATCACACTTCAAGCTGTGATTCACTTGCCTATCATCATGTTATCACGAGTCGCTGCACTATATTTATAACCCTAGGATGGATAGTTAAGAACCTAGATTATAACAATGTAAAGGACATACCGTTGTTATAACTAGCGGGACATATTGTTGTTTTATCTAGGTCAGTGGCATTTTTCAGAAGCAAAAGAGCCTTTTCTCAAAGGCTAGTCTCTCCTTGAATCAATACTGTAAGTAGAAAATAAGCAAGAGGAGTGAGGGATAAAAGTGACTTCAACAAACCCCCTGTCTGCCACCAAATGCAGGGCTTCTGCTTTGTATTATACATGTCAAGCCACAGAATGTGAAAAAAAACCATGTGTTTGATATGGGGGCACAGCAAGCTGCAGAAAGTACCTGACTGGTTACATCTCCCGGCAGGAGACTTGTGTCTTCACTTCATGCTGTCTCTGAGCTGAGGCCCTTAGGATGCAGTCACTCTTGCTTTGCAACTGAACAGAGTACCTGACCTTTGATGTCTAAATCAACCTGTCCAGTAGGCAACCTCCTGGGGCCCACCTGCCAGCAGTAGGTGGGGCCAGAAGCAAAAGTGGGTGGAGCAATGAATCTGAGTATTACCTTTGTGCTATACAACACACCCTTCTCTCTCTTACACCCAGGCAAGCAGGAGGCATTATACAAGTTCAACGACACAGCCAAACCAATGAAAAACATCCAAGGAGGATGTGAAGCAGAGCTATTGAGGGATGTATCTGGGGAGAGCCCAGAGGGCCAGGCAGAAAGGTCTAGAGGGCCGTATAGGCCCCTGGACCTGAGCTTTCCATTCCTGCTCTGACCAGTACCAGGCCTAATATCCACCATGGACAACATCCCTAAGGCAATACACCTCAACATTTCATGCATCCCAATACCCTTAGCAACTGTTCTGGCCAGAGTATTCCCCAAGGCCGTGGAAAGTTCTCTCACCCTTGTTACTCAACAACACGGTTATGCAGACATGTATTTCAAAATGTTCTTTGCATGTTGTTACTCAGCCTGAGGGAATATACTGAACTAAATGTCCACACGTCCAGTTATGAACAACATCTATGACCCATTTTCGGTCAACCTAATGTCAATTACATTTAAGCCAGCATGGTGTGGTGGTTACACTGTTTGAGGGGATCCGGGTTCATATTGCCCTTCAGCTATGAGGCTCCCTGCATGACCTTGGCCCAGTTAGTCACTATCTCTCAGGGTTGTTTCAAGAATAAAATAGGGAGTACAGCCACATGCACCATCTTGTGATCCTCGGAGGAAAGGCAGGATATATATGTAGTATATGAGCAAGTAAATTCCACATCAGACCAAGAGGTCATAATTCCTTACACCAATAATCTTAATGTGTTTTTACACCTTAATCTCTTATCAAAGCACCTACCTTCCCACACACTGCAGAGCTTCTCCAGAACTCCCTCTTTATTCAGTTCTCCCTCTTGCCCACACCCATGATCTCTTGCCTCAAAATATATCATATTTTTATCACTCCAAACACTTCACCCCCTCTCTACAGCCTACACACACCCAAATCAAGAAAACACATTCTTCCCACAATGAACCCACAAACTTTTTTTTTAAAAAAAACCATGATTTCGGCTCTTAATTATCTATGGCCTCACACAGATGGAGTTTTAATTGTGCCTTTTGAAAATAGCAATGTCTTTTAGGACCCCCCCCCCCTTTTTGGCCAGTTTCAATGCAGGTGGTCTTTCATATATTGCAGGTCGTTTTGAGTTACTCTGCCTAAAAAAGCAACCAATGAATTTAATAAGAAAATAATCACAACAACAACAAATACCCAGCCAGAACTCCGGAATGCACATGTGTTTTAAAACGTATGTTTCACAACACCAAATGGTGTCTTTTTAAATACTGCAATAGCAGCACAGGCTAGTGCCAACTAACACATAAAGAAATCAGCGTGCTATGCAGATTTTTATTTCTGCGGTTTTGCCTGTATGTACACAGTGCCGTGTGCCAAGACCATGCAACACGTACACACGTGGGTCTAAGCCAAGCCAACACATGGGGGACGTGGTGCATCACAGTGCACATGGGCCAGAGGAGTGTGTACTTGTCACATCCATAAAACTGTGAAATGCTACCAGCCAGTGACCCATTTTCAACGTCGAGGCTCCATCCCCGGAATGCCTTTTCCAGTCATAAGAAAGGGCTGCCTCTGAGCATACGCAGAGTGCATTTCCCTCCCTTGCCGACCAGCGACTTATAGAAGTTCACAGCATATACAGTACTCCTCTTCAGAAACAAGCCAGCCCAGCTCCTCTTACCGGGCATCCTGGTGAGCACGTTGCGAGGCGCCCTCCTGCCCCGCTGCTGCCTGGCCCTCTCGGCCTCGTCTCGCTCGGGCTCCTTGGCCACCATGAGGCTGCGGAGACGCTGGATGCGCTCGGGGTCGGCGGGGGCCCGGGCGCCTCGGCTCCGGGCGCGGGTCCCCGCAGGGCGGCTGCCGCGGCCGGCGGCCCCTCGCTGACGTCCCGGAGCGCGGAGCAGGCCGCGCTGGAAGCTCTCGTACTCGGCCAGGTTGTTGAAGTGCGGCGCGGCCGGGTAAGGCAGCGGCGTGCGCTCCGAGTAGAGCGCCAGCAGAGGGTCGAAGCGCGGCGAACTCACGTCCAGGCGCCCGGGGCTGGGCGAGCGCTCCGAGCTGCTGCGGCCGCCCGAGCGGCGGCGGCGGCGGCGCCTGGGCCCGGCGCCGGCCTCCTCCGCCTCCTCCATGACTCCCTGGCCCTGCGGGGAAGGGATCCGCCCGCAGCTCCTCGCTCTCGCCGCTAAGGGCCGCCCCAGCACCACAGGCGTCTTCCCGCCTTTCTTAGCGCCGCTTGGCGCTCTCGGAAGACAGCCAGGAGCGAGATTCCCAGCACCTGCGCTGGGGCTAGCGACCGCCTTTGGGCTTCTCATCCATCGGCTGCCCTAGGAAGTCGTAGCTGCAGCCGGTTGCCGCTTGTCCCCCACCGTGCTGGCCGACGCAGGCAACATTATTCCCTCGCTTCTCCCTCCTTACTCGGCGTTAGTTAATCCGAAATAACGGTTCTCTCTGCAGATCTTCCTCAGAAGTGGCGTTTAATGCCTATGCGCGGTTCTCTCTGCAGATCTTCCTCAGAAGTGGCGTTTAATACCTATGCAATAATATATGGCAAGAAAGTCTTACGTCGTGCGAAGGAAAATTGCGCTAAGATTTCTTAGAATCCGCAGTGAGCCCAAATGAAGTGCCCAGAAGCGGAAAATCGCACTTCGAACGCGGCGTTGCTGCTCAAGAGTAGCGGGATTTCAGGGTGGCGCCTAACCAAGTTCATATGAAATAATCTTAAATACGAGCTGCTACAGCATACTCTTTTGTCGCTTATAGCAACCATTCTATTTGCAGAGGGGGAAAACAATGAGACCTCTTCTATATAATTCAAAGTCAAGAGATTGACAAAATTCAGGGAGCCATCTGGCACACCCACGCCTGGCATTTAAAAGTGTATATGGTATGTTAAGAATAGCAGGTATTTAACACCTACGTTTTCTATTTTTAAATCATTATTTCATTTCATTTTTTAAATAAAAGGGTCGATTCAAATATTGAAGGATATGAATTGGAGGTACGGGGGGGGGCATCACCTTGTTGAAGCTAAGCAGACCCTCAGGGAATCAAACGTACACCACCCTGAGTTCCGTGATGTAAGAAAGGTGGCATATAATACCAAGAAAAGGAAATAAAATACTCGCACTGGTCAAGGATCCTGTGTGAACAGCAGGTCATGAGCCCCAACACCACACTGAAACCTCAGCCAGTATCTCATTTATTTTTATGACAACTTTGCTATGTCTGTAATTATGTAAATCTTTTCATATTATAAGCTGCCTTGAGCATTGTTTTAACTGTGGAAAGGCAGCATACAAATAAAATGATGATTGGTTGATTGGACACAAGATGAATGATGGGAGGAACCAGCTGGGCAACCACCAAGGGAGGAAGGAGGGTCAGAACCTAGGCAGTGGTGATGGGATGGTAAGTGGTCATGGAGGAGAGACTAGGAAGATGAGGAGTCAGAAGCTGATGGGGTAACAGAGCTCAGTGAGCTAGGAGAGTCTGGCAGAGAGAAGTCAAGAATCAAAGGCAGAAGCTGAAGCAGGCAAGTGGGAGGAGGGAGGTCAAGAGGCAGAGGTGAGTCAGGCTAGTGAAGAGTCACACGTGTCTCTCCCTCCTGCTGCAGCAAGCTCCACCCACCCTCACTACCAGAACCAGGAGAGGGATAAAACGGGTGGAGCAAAGATAGGCTGCACGCAGACACAGTCTCCGATTGCTTGCAAGAAGCCAGAGAGGAGGAGACAGACAGCTGTGGAGAGATGGGGATTTTTAGTCTCAGCAACTGATTCAGGGCATGAGCTGCTGTGCTCATTAGGCCTGAAACCCAGCCAGGTCTATGAAGATCTTATTTCTCTAGTAAAGAGAACTCCAGTGTTGAACTGTGATTTATTGATGGGCGTGCTTTGTGACAGCCAGACATTTGTTGATTGATTTGGAGCAGAGGAGAGCATACTACAGGATTGTGGAAGCTACTTTGTGTTTTACTAGTAGTACCCTGCAATCAACCAAATGGGGTACAGTACAAAATATATACATTAGAATTAAAGGACAGGTTGCCTCTGCATAGCTACTGAGTACAGTAGGTGCATCAGAACTCAGCTGAGCTTCAGGTCCTTCACTCAAATCTGTTCCTGAGTACCTCAAGCTCTCTTCATTTCAGCTTTCTAAATTAGCAAATTAGGGGAAGGTTATTGTTGTATATATTAATTGGGAGTTGGACTTCCTTGATCAAACCACCCAGAATTCTGCTGGTAGATACTCTGCCCACCCATGATGGGGAGAAAGTAGAACACGGAAGCCTTGAAGTCGAAAGATCTATTTGCATGTTTGCGAAGGTATTTGTATGTATGATAGGTAGCAGAGTGCACCAGTGATAGAGAATTGACTTACATGATTCCTGAACTATACAAGAGAATTATTCCATAAATCAATGCAAAATTTTATTAACATTACAGCAATAATTTAAACACATATTGCTTGGAAGGCTGTTTTTCTTAATGATTAACCTAACTATAGCAATGAAGATGTCCACCATTTTAGATAAATTGGTTGATTAGAATCATAGAATCATAGAGTTGGAAGAGACCACAAGGGCCATCGAGTCCAACCCCCTGCCAAGCAGGAAACACCATCAGAGCACTCCTGACATCTGGTTGTCAAGCCTCTGCTTAAAGACCTCCAAAGAAGGAGACTCCACCACACTCCTTGGCAGCAAATTCCACTGTCGAACAGCTCTTACTGTCAGGAAGTTCTTCCTAATGTTTAGGTGGAATCTTCTTTCTTGTAGTTTAGATCCATTGCTCCGTGTCCGCTTCTCTGGAGCAGCAGAAAACAACCTTTCTCCCTCCTCTATGTGACATCCTTTTATATATTTGAACATGGCTATCATATCACCCCTTAACCTCCTCTTCTCCAGGCTAAACATGCCCAGCTCCCTTAGCCGTTCCTCATAAGGCATCGTTTCCAGGCCTTTGACCATTTTGGTTGCCCTCCTCTGGACACGTTCCAGTTTGTCAGTGTCCTTCTTGAACTGTGGTGCCCAGAACTGGACACAGTACTCCAGGTGAGGTCTGACCAGAGCAGAATACAGTGGCACTATTACTTCCCTTGATCTAGATTATTGTTATCTCTTTTTCAAAGAGGCTTTAAGGGACCTGGTCTTCTTTAAAAGATAACGCAGGAAAGGCAGAGAGTGAAAAATGGAATGACATTAACAAAATATTCCACATAAAACCCTTTTGTCATTATCTCCCAGCATGTATCATTCCAGTCTCTGCATAGTCAGAGAAAGTATCACATACACTCCATCTCCCCCCCTACCCCGGAACAGGTCTTATTACTTTCACAGGTCCAGCACAAAGAATGCAGAAGCGCAACACAAACTTTTTTTTGAAGAGTAAAGAACTTCCAGTAAGTTGATTGCCACAATCCTCAACAGCAGGAACTGGATAGTTTCCCAGGCAGCAGAAAATTGAGAGCATGACCTACAAACATATCCTGTTGTGATGCCCCCCCTTATTCAATAAGTTTATTATTCCAGTTTGGTCACCCGAGACCTTCTCTAATAATCAGTAAAGCAGCAAGGAGAGAGTCCAAACAATAAATGTATGATTACGGAGGGAAATTATGTTTCCATAGCTTTCAAAAAAGCCATAACTAATTTACACTTGAGAGAAGACTTCCTAATTAGTTTCAGCCATTTGCTAGGGTATTTTGTTTATCACTCATATAATCCAGAGACATTAGCAACTAGGATAATTTGTAACTTGGCTCCCTGATGATAGAACTTAATTTGAAGCAGGAGTTTAAATGTTTTCAGTTTTAAATGGGCAGCTCAAAATCTCATGGGACTTGTACCAGTAGAGTGCCTTTGAGGGCCATAGCCTAAATTAAAGGAATTCCTTTTCAAGTAAAAAGTTTGTCAACCTGACAATGATATTATTGTAAGGCACCTCATAATTTTGATGGGAAAACATACACATCTGTGAAACTATAAAAATGAATACAAGCACTACATGGCTTCTTAAGTGCACCACACAAGTTTACTGAAATATCCATTCTGGGCCAGTCACCTATCCGTCTCCCATGGTCCTTGCAGAAGTAAACTGTATGGAGTATTTCACACCAACATCCAGATGGCAAATGTCAGCTATCATCAGCTAGGATTTCAGGATACTGGTCCCAAAACTGATCCCCAATGATATCACAGTGCAAAGCAACTACTGTAGTCCTTGGCCGGGTCACTTCAACTTCCTTCTCTTCCGTTTCCTCTGGAATTTTAATTTTCTTTTTAATGGCTTGATTTACCTATAAGAACAGGTGACAGATTAATGTAGAATCGCAGAACTGAAGCAGGCTAGAAGGCAATTCCAGTTTCATTTCTTTTTTTAACTATAATATAAGACAACTCTCAAATTAGAATCATCACTAGTAAAGTTCTGGTCTTTCAGTGGCAGATGTGCTCCTATTGAACCTTCACTACTTAAAATTTGAGGAGTGAAGTTACCAGAGGAATTATCCTTTTCACTGAAGACCAGAACATTTCTAGGCTTAAGTCTTAAGCAGTGGTAATGTTATAAAAGCAGACACACCTGGAAAATCAGCACACATATGACTGTCAAAAATCACTTACCTCCCAAGTAAGTATTTTGTATAACAGTTTGTAAAATGCATTACACACAAATAGGTATCTGTCAAAATTATATTACCTTTTGCCACAGTAGAACAGTTCCTTTTCTATACAATAATGATTCGTTATTGTAGTTAATGCTGAACTGAGAAAATAAAATCTCATTCTTGTCACTTGCAACTGTTCCCTAAGGATAAAGAGAAAATATTTTTTTTTCTTATAAAAACACCACCACACAGGCATATGAAAACACTGACTCCTCTCCATCTAGATTTGAGCACTGTATTTGGAGACAGGATGGAGTAGACACAACCCACCAGTCCCCTTTTCTGCTTGCATTTAGACAAACAGTTAATCCTTATTTGTTCCACCTGGTTTTTAAACTTTGACAAGTGTTATATTCATACTAATATGGAGATAGGAAGATAAAGCTATTGGATATAGTTTTAAAAAAAAATCTAACCAAGAGGTCAACAACCTTTTTCAGCCGTGGGCCGGTCCACCGTCCTTCAGACCATGTGGTGGACCGAACGATATTTGTGGGGGAATGAACAAATTCCTATGCTCCACAAAAAACCCAGAGATGCATTTTAAATAAAAGGACACATTCTACTCATGTAAAAACACACTGATTCACGGACTGTCTGCGGGCCGGACTGAGAAGATGATTGGGCCGCATCCGGCCCCCAGGTAACCTATTCACTCTCTCTCTCTCACACCCACCCACCCACCCTTGCACTATGATAACTGTGTCACTTACAAACCCCTTCAACCTCATCCAGACTCCCAATTCTCATTGCCCATAACACTTGTGTAATTTGAATGCCTGCACATAATGCTGCATTAAAACCTCAAGCATGAGTGAACATACTACTTAGCATAATCTTGAAAGAAGACTTTCATACCTGTAGTCGCTTTTGGGCTTGTACAGGTGTCAAGCCACCTCTCTGCACAAGAGTCCAAAATACTGTATTGTAGAGATTATTTATGTGGCCTGCAGGAATGAAATAACAAACATCAGACTACATTGGGAAGCACATTGAACAAGCTTTCTGCCACAGCAGTAGTTACTGAAGGACTTGTATACTATTATATGAATATAAAAAAAATTCCTTCCAGTAGCACCTTAGAGACCAACTAAGTTTGTCATTGGTATGAGCTTTCGTGTGCATGCACACTACGGCAGACCAACACGGCTTCCTACCTGTAACTATTATATGAATATGATATTGTAAAAATAGTAGTATGTCTTTTTATCTAAGTCCAGTATTTTGGTTCAGTATTTATCAGTGTTTTATATATTATTATCCTACCAACAGTTCCTGTGACATGTTTTTAAAATAGATAAAATTTCCTGCTATGCAGTTTTTTTGTCACATCAAACATGAGGGTTTCTGTAGACCATCCAGCCAATCTAAAACTACTGCTATCCATTTCATGGAAACGCTACTCAGTCAGGTAGCCAGATAATTGGTGGGGGAAGGTGGGGTGGAAGAAAACATGCAAGTAAATTGCTGTGTGCAGTGAAGGGAGAACAACAACAACATGGGTTGCTGTGATTGTCCATCTTATTTGTCATGCCTTTTACATTCATTGACTAGACTTCTGAAGGTAGCAGCAGGGTTCACATCTTACTATACAATTGAATATAACACTGTTTGCATTTCTCATGCTGCTGTTGGGATGCAGGGGGGAAAGACATGAAAGCAATGCCTCTCCCATTGTGGCATAAAATTGGATCCTCTCCAAGGTTTTAACTTTTTCCATATGTGTAAGAACTAAAGTCTTGGAATATCCCAGCTGAAGGATAACCCTCTGTAACTACAGGCAATACTGACCAACAATCATAAACCCATGCAAACAAACAAACAAACAAACAAACAAACACAAAAACCTGATGGTGGTGGTTTCTCATGTGTGTAAGAGATGCTTACAATCAGCTTGTCGCCAACTAAGATAGTCCTTTAAATTCTGGTCACTAGGATATAACACAACACGCCCATCAAATCCTGGTGGATACAAAAGAGGCTGGTCCTTAAAGTAATCTTTCCAATAGAAAACGTAGCTGGAGGCAAACTGGGAGACCACATGAGTCATGAACTTACTTGTAAACAGAAAATAAAAAGGAAGTGAAAGTTAATAACATCAGTACTACAGCACTGACAAATAAATAAACACTTGAGTACTCTATGTTCACGCATCATCAAAAGCCATGGCTAATACTTTACCATGATCATGCCCAAGAGAGCACCTTCTTTCTTCCCTGCTTGTGCACAAAGGAAACAAAACACAATCCCTGGCTAAGCATTACATCCAACCCATGGATCATGGCTTGTTCTCTTCCGACAAACCATAACTGGTAAGCCAAGAATAAACCTTGGCTATACTTCAGTTTGCTTGGGAATAAAAGAAACCTTTATCCCTGGTTCAGATACAAAACCTAAAACACAGAAATCATGGTTTGTTTCCTCCCAGCACTAGCAGGAAGCAGTAAAACAGACTAAAAGGCACATTTACAGTAAACCATTAATGGCTGAATGTTTCAGAGTTTTCCAGATCTGTATGATTCACTCCTACATTTTCCAAGTCCAGGAGGTTGAGAGCATCGCATGCATATGAAAACTGGATAACAGAAAATGAAGATTCTATGAATTTGGCCATTTGCGGGCTGAACTATCATACATAATAGTGCTCAGTCAACTCTCAGGACTGGATGGCTGATTGCATCAATGAGATCATGACATAGAATGAAAACCGCACTATACTGTCATTCTTAAAGCATATCATATGCTAATAACAGCAGCTGATGACCACCTACTAAGCCAAATGGAAAGACTATACCAATGAAAATGTGCAAATTGAAGCTTATCTGTATACATTCCTTGTTACTTGCTCTCCTACCTTGTGAACTGAATTCCCCACCAAAACCCTTCCACCTCCCAATTTGGTTGCATTTCTTTTGTTTTCTGCAATTATTACTGCATGAACATGAAAGGAGGCCATTACCAAATCTATGAAAAGCAACGCATGTTGCATGCATACAACAGCTGTCAAATTTTTATATTTCAGATGAAAATGAATTTTAAGCAAAATAAATAGTACACCCCTTGCCTTTACACAGCACTTATTAAAAAGCTGCCAATTTTTACCAAATCAGAATTGTTATGAGTTATTGTCTGCATAACTATATAATAAAATATAAACAAATTGGTTATATTTAAAACATATTGTATGAAGAGTAGATATGCAAATATTGGGTTGGGATGGGAGGAGAGAGAAGCTCTAAAACCAGTTACCTTGCTCTTCTCTTAAACCAGTTGCTTTTCTTTTTGAAAACAAAGCTGTATTCATCACTTTGTCCATAGGCAATGACAATATCCTCTAATTCTTGCATTACTGTCTGTGCAGACTTGTTCATCAAGTTAAGAGCGCGATCATCATTAGGCTTCTTAAAACCATGTTGCTCAGCAAAGCTTCAAAAAGGGAAAAATACAAAGAAATGAAATTTATCAAAGTTATTAAAGTGGTTATCAGCGTGGTTTTATTTTTTAATTTTGGACTGGATCCCATATGCATGCTATTGTGTTTTGGTTGCAATACTAATTTATAATTTATTAAAAACAGCAGATTTTTGTAACTTCTTCACATTTTTGCCAAATGGAAGGTAAATGTTAAGTTGTGGGTGAACAGATCAGACAACACAGCAATTCTTCAAACAGCTCTTGTTTATTCACAGGCCACAACAGAACTGAACTAAAGGGTTCAGCCAGCCTGCTTATATAGAGCTCCACTACAACGCAACTGTAACCACTTTCTGTAACTATCCAATCACTGAACGTCACTTTCAATCCCTTATTTGCATATGTGAACCTAAGTGAAAACTATCTACAGTATCCCCCTGCTGGCCCAGGGTGAGAACTTCAGTATATAACAGTAAAACTACTTCCACTGAGGCACTACTAAGAATCCTAGCTGTAACTCATATAGCTTAGTGTCTTTTTAAGCAGGATGAAAACCTTCCATTCCTCCTTTCCTTATTCAGAAGCAGCAGGACAATTACAGCTTTTCAAATATTCATGACAATACTGATTGTTATCTGGTCTACCAATAGGGGATGGCTGGAAGTGAGTTTTGTGAGTTACAAGATGTGAAACAGACAGGTGGATGCAATAAGGGAGGGGTGGCCCATATAATAATAATATCACGAACTCCCTGCATACTGTATTCTTTTCAGCACCTGCTGAACACAATCTTTTTCAGACAAGCCTACCTAGATGCTTAGGAAGATTGCATGAGTTTTAATTTGTCTTAAGTCTATTCTAATGCAGCTTTAACTTTCTCACCAATATGGGTGGGATATAAATAAAAAATATTATTATAATAATCAGTGTTTTAAATTATGGTTGTAAACTTTTTAGTGCATCCTTTTATTGCGTTTTGGTTTTTTTGGTAAAGTGCTCTGATGGGTTTTCCCTACAATCAAATGGTGTATGCATTTTCTGAACTTAGCTTCATAAAATTTATACACCACCTGATTGTGAGGAGTAAAAAAACGTGCTTAAGAGGAAGGCACATTTGGCAAACCCTCATTGTGATCAACTCCCGCAGGGAAACTTACTCCCCCGCCCAGCCCCGTGGAAGGTCGTGTGGATCCAGAATTTTTACGAAATAAACAGATGCGCACACTCCCAACGGAGAAATCCTCCCAAACCAAAGCTTCCCACAGTGGTCTTCAGATTACGACAAGTGGCCGTCTTGGCTAAGGAGCCGTGCCCCAAGGATGCTGCCCCGCCCGCAATCCGCCTCTGGGTGGAGCCCTCTCGATACCCAAGGGCAGCTCCTACCCAGAAATCCGACCACCGGTTCCCTATCCTTGCGCGATGCCCATAACCTCTCCACCCCTCCCTCCTCCCGCCACCATTGGCTGAGCCGTCGCCAGCGGCAACCAAGCTGCCGCCAATAGCTGAAGCGGGGCTTACCGGTGGAAGCCGCGGCCGTCCAACCGGACCACGACCCAGCAGTTGGGCAAGCACGTGGCCTCGTCTTCGAAACCCCGCACGTATTCGAACTTGCTCTTCGCCATGGCGACGCGGCCGCAGCTCAGCCGCGCGCGCAGACCGAGGGAGGCGGCGGCGGCGGCGGCGGCGGCAGGCGGAAGAACACCACCAAGCCTAGGCAGCGCCAGCATCAGCGGAAGCTGCGTTGCGCGATCCCGGAAGGCTGGCCCGCGCGCACGCACACATCCCCCTCCCGTGCTCCGCTCTAGCCGCCAGTCTCTATGACGCCGCAAGGTCTTTCGGGATTGCAGCTCCCTAACCGCATTAGCCGCCTCTCAGTGCCGGGCGCAAAAAGCCTCGCAGCAGAGGCGACGGGATAAATGCAGAGCGAACCGAGGCTGAAAGCCACGCCCTCCAGTCTCGATGCCGCCCATCCTGGATGTGCGTAGGCTGCTGTGGGGCGTTTAATGGGGGCGGGGAAGGAAAAGAGGCCCTCGCGCCGTGTGTGTTATGTGCGCACGCGCGCCTGCCTTTTCTCAACCCGGTGTCGGGGGACTACAATTCCCATCATCCCTGGCCACTGGCCAAGCCTGCCGGGGCTGATAAGACCTGTAGCCCCGCGACGCCGGGTTGAGGAAAGACGGGCTGAATGGGGATTCCGACAGTGTTGTTTCGGGTCTCCATTAATCCAGTTCCCTCTGCCCGTTGAACGCGCATCCTCCCTTCCCACGGTCAGGTGCAACACGCGTCGCACCGTGCGGGGGTAATCCTTTTAAGTTTTATCCCTCGCCGTGGTCGTCTCCATCCTCCCAACCCCGACGCTGGGTTTGAAAAGAAGGACTCCCGTAGACGAGGGGAAATGAGCTGGTGCTTGTCAAGGAAGGAGGCGACGCGCTGAAAGCGCACGGGCTGAGGGAACGGTAGCTGTTGACGAAACGGAACGTTGGGCGCGAGGGAGCCGGCAAAGGGCGCGCGCGCCGCCGCCGCCGCCAAACGAAGCCCTTTCAAAAAAGCGGGAAAGGCGCGTGGGTTCGTCCCGGGGTCTCCATGGCGACCTCATTGTTACGCGGCCCCCAGGGTCGCCCTGGCGACACCAGGGAGGGGAAAGTGCGGGAGGCACGTGGAGCCAGCCCGGCGGCTGTTGCCATTTCCAGCCGGTGCCCCGAGGCGGCGCGAGGCTCCTGCGACCCGGAGGGCGGGGTCCGAGCGCGGCGCGCGTGGCCCTGGCGGGAGGGGGAGCCGAGAACGTTTGCGAACCAACCGCAGGAAACAAACGGGCGGTCACAGAGGGCGGAGGCTGAGCTCACAATCCCCGCAACAATCCCTCTCCCCGGGGGGCGGGCTGCGGCATGGAAGAAGGGGCGCAGGGGGAAACCCCCCGAGAGCAGCACCGCCTCCTGCACCCCGCGGCTTGGCAGGGCGCTCCCCGGATGGACCACCTTCTCCTGCACCCTCTCTCGGGGCAGGGGGCCAGGGACCCGCACCTCCTGCTCTTCTCCCCCAAACAGGGGCCGCAGCACCCCCTGCTGCACCCCAAGCAAAATGCCCTGCGCAGGGAGCAGAAAGCTCCACTGCCTGGGGAAGGGCTTGCCTATAAAGAGCAGCAGCACCTGTTGGAAGACCAGCCTTGCCTTGCCAGGCAGCTCTGCCAGCCTGGCCTCGGGTTGGAACCTGGGGTTTGCGAGAAGCTGGAAGAGGCGGTGGCGGAGGGAAATGGCCAGCAGAAGGTGCTGCAAGTGAAAGCGGAGGAGCGGGAGCAAGAGAACCAACTGCTCCCGACGGGCGGCAGCAACAAGAAAAAGAGAGGGGAGCACAGGGCGGCTGCCAGTCGTCGAGGAGGGAAGGAGGAGGGAAGCAGCGGCGCGAAAGGAGGGGGGGAAGTCAAAGTGGGGAAAGGAGAAGAGCCAGAGGAGATCAAGAAAGAGGTGAAGGTGGAAGAGAATTGTGATGCCAAAGCCTTGGGGTCCGGAAAAGAAGGGGCCATCAAAACGGAACTGGTGGAGCCTCGCGAGGAAGCTTGCAAGGGGAGGGAAGAGGTGGCATCCAAGCCTCGCCCCTCCTCCAACGGCCCAGCTCATGTCAACAAAGATGCTGACTTGTCTCAGCCTCTCGGGACTCAGCATCCTCAAGAACTGAAGATTCCTGTCACGCTCCATGCTGTCCCTCCTGGGGCTAGAATCCAGTTTCAGGGGCCACCTCCATCTGAGCTCATAAGAGTGACTAAAGTGCCAGTGGCACAAGTACCCCTTAAAATGCAGTCCTTGCTGGAGCCTTCAGTGAAAATAGAAACGAAAGATGTGCCTCTCACAGTGCTACCCTCAGATGCAGGTAGTAAATAGGTATAATAGAATTTGCCAAGTTGGCCTTTAGTCGCTATTTATGTACAAGTAAACACCGGGATAGAACTGTTCGTACACATTAATCTGCACCACTATTCCAAACTTTTTAAAAAAATATATGAAGGGCCAGAAGGAAGATAGGGCTTCACTGAAGTTCATGCAATTAACAACAGCTCACTGTATACTTTACTGGCTGTTGCAACCGCCAAAGATTATGAAGATGGTCAATTATGCAAAATCCCATCTACAATTTTTTAATATTTGCAGGAGCTTTCTATTGCGGAAGTATGCCATTGCCCTCTTTAATACATTGTAACCAGGGCACAGAGATTAACTGTGACCCTCAGAAGAAACAACAAAATGCTTCTTTCATGTGTGGCAGATTAAAGACTAACATTTTTTGTGCCATCAGCATTCATAGACCAGTATCCACTTCATCGCCAGTTTATGCCACAATAAATCTGTTAGGCCTTGTTCTGACCCTCTTCCAAGGAGCCCAGGGCACTATACAAACATCCACCTTAATTTTCACTACAATACTGAAGTAGGCTTGGCTGAGACTGTTACCCATAAAGCATTCTTGAGCCTTTGGGCACATTAGGTATTTTGAAGGAGTATTGTGGGCACCAACACCTCTAGTTGCTCCCTCCCCCTCCCAGTAGTCAGAAAGGAAGCACACACAGAGATTGATTGGTTTTTCAAACGGTTTGGTAAAAGTCAAATCCAGTTGAATTAAAATGAATCCTCTTGAATTTGCATGATTTTATGTGGGGTTCCGCAAAAAAAAAAAAACCCCAAATAAACCCCACCCCACCTTATAACGTTACACAACACAGTTAAAAAAAGAAAAAGCAGATCTGGTGCTTTCAGGTATCAAAAACATTGATCAAAGCATGGCTACTCTTGATCTTTACACAGAATAAAAAACACCCCCAATAAATTACAGAATATGTCTGCAGACACAGGTGACCATGATTTGATTATGGTTTTGAAGAGATCCCTTGTATTACGAGGCTTCAGGAATATCTGTTCCTAAGATCAGCGTCTTTGTGTCATGGCAGCTCTGGAAAGTACCAGATCCATGGTTCAGTCAACTGACACATGATGTGATACTGGTTCTGGGAAACACCTGTGAAAAATTCTGCAATTCCAAGGGGATCTGATTTACTGGCTCCAATGTGCACAGGCACATGTGTGCACCTCTCTCCTTATTCCCATGGCACCTGTTTCCCCTGGTTGATCCATTTTCTTCAGTCTCCCAGATAACTCCTCTTTCCCTCCTATGCTATTTACGTTCTTCCCTTCACATTCTGTTAGCAGCTCAGGAGCTGATCTGAGTCTTGAAAAGCACATCGAGCTGAAAGAGCAATGCCTTCCTTACCTCTTTCATTTTTCTGAGCCCTGAAATGCAGAGAAGAAAGAAGAAGTAGAAAAGAGTGCCATCCTTTCAACTTCTTCCTTCAGCTCTATGTTCTTTTCAAGGGGGAGGGAAGTAACAAGCTTTGTGCCAACTCAGTGAAGGAACAGTGAGCAATGTAGAACTTGGAGGCATCGCTCCCAACAAACTATGATTTGTAGCCAAGATTACCAGTTATGAATTGTTGTAGCAAAACAAACCTTGATCGCTGGCTTGGGTGTTACTCTAAGCCAGATGTCATGGTTTGTTTCTGCTTAGTGCAAGTAAGTAGGAGGCAAACATGCTCAAAGTAAATTTTTATTTAATAAATTTCAATACTACCCTTCAAGAATAAAGTTTTCTCATCAGCCTCAAGGGCTGCCCCACATAGAATGTATTGCAATATTCCAGTCTGGTGAAATTACCCACCTTAGTGAAATTAATGGGGATACTTTTGAAATACTAGGGTTCAGAATTATCTCTTGAGTGGCTTTCCAAAGTCAGACACAAAGGTTGAGCAATTTAAGGCTTGCCAAGTTTAGATCTCGCAAAAAAGCTTGCTATGTGATCTTGTGCATGTCTACATTAGTTTCGGTGAGATTTACTCCCCCAAGTATAAGGGTGCATAGGATTGCAGCACCAGACAACTTTAAATTTAGGTCTCACCATTTCTAAGCTGCATCCCTTGAGTTCTGACCACAGGAACATCTGTAGTGGATATGCAATTGTTTTCATAGATTAATAGAAGTTGTTGATATGCATTCCAATCCTTAATACTTGTACTTTGAAATAATTCAGGAAGCTTAGATTCAGATGTATGAGTAAAGTTTAGTACCTTAGCCTAAAAACAGTATTCTGCTTTTAGTACATATCTGTTTAAGCCAGTGGTTCTCAACCTGTGGGTCCGCAGATGTTGGACTGCAACTCCCATCATCCCTGAGCTCTGGCCTTTCTAGCTAGGGATGATGGGAGTTGTAGTCCAACAACATCTAGGGACCCACAGGTTGAGATAAAATGACTCAGGAACAGCTATTGGTTGGAAGTGGTGCTCCTCCTGAATGGTTGATGTATGCCTGGGTGGACACACACACCCCTTTCCTAGTGTAGGGATGTGCCCTGGATTCAAATCAAACACTTCAGGCATGTAATCATAAGCTGTTTCACCTAGTTAGGGCTTTTCCTTTCAGCTCTGTGCTGCTGGTGTCAGTGCCCATATTGAGACTGAAGCATGGAGAAAAGAAATTCCACACAACGCGTCTGATTGATGTCTCCTGCAGTGGCAGCAGAACTGTTAGGGAACTGCTCAGTATGGGGTTGAGCCAGGACATTTTGCCCCCTTCAGCATGGTGATGCTCAAACCTTTTTCTCCTGCTTCCCAGCTCCATACTTCACAGCACCCTGTCCCAACTTGATGCCTTTCAGACATTTTGGACTACAACTCCAATAGCCATGCCACCTGGCCATGGGCATAGCCAGGATATTTTTTTTGGGGGGGGAGATTTTTGTTGCGGGGGGCAGAACCAATGTGATTGGTCAGTTAGTTAAGTATTTATATTGTTTTACTTGACGGGGGGCAACTGCCCCCCCTGGGCTACGCCTGGCTAATGGAAGGGATGATGGGAACTGGTAGTCCAAAATATATGGAACACACCATATTAGCAAAGTCTGCCCTGCAGAGTGAGACACTGCTGTTGTTGCTGCTGTCAGTGTGTGTTCTGGCCACTCCCCCTGGTTGGTTGTCAACTAGAGTGTCCCGTCCCCCCAGTGGGTCTTGAATTCCTGTCCCAGTAAGGGTGTGTGCTCTTTGCAGGTATTCTGCTGATGAAATTGTGTGGGTGCCATGTTGTGTGGGTGCCATATTGTGTGTCTTCTTCCTATTTATTTTATTTATTATTTATTTACATGGCATAAATGTGACATAAATTTAAAAAAAACAGTAATCAAGAACAACAACCCAATAACCCCACCCCCTACTCAACGTGTCATGTGCTAATAAATGACTCCCTGTATGTCAGATGGGCAGTCTCTGATTGCTGGGTATTGCCTGGGTTTTTCCTGTTCCCCTGTGTCCACCGCCCTTCCCTGAGCATGTTTTATATACCGCTGAACACCACCCCAATCTCTGAGTAGTGCGAGATCCAGGGGTTCCAGGCACTTACCCAGAGTTTGGTTTCCTCAGAATGAGGGACAGTGGAGACCATGGTGTCTTTAGGATGTATGGTTTATTTACACATATATACAACCTGAGCCTGCGATGGAGGTGCTCACAGCATCTTGCTTCTCCCATAGCCACAGCCTTGGATTCCAGCACAAGTCAGACATGGCTGTGTGTCTCTCAGCTGCCCAGGCTGCTTTCAGCCTCTACCACTTACACACCTCCCTTGCTTTTGTCTTTCTAACTGCCAGACAGTTGAGGGAGGGAGACCCACTCATTTCTGCTCTGGCACAGAGCCACTTCCTTTGTTACCTTAATGACCCATTCTTGCAGGGCCATTTTCAAGAAACGTGTCTGGCTATTCCAGCAGCAACTGGATCCTTGTTGGATCCAGGAATTAGGAGGGACTCAGACATACAGTCTGCTGCTCCCTCTCTGGAAAATCACAACAGATGCAGTGGCTGTTTTGGCAGTGCGATATATATATATGGAGCACAAAGACACCATCTCTAGTGTTCTTGGCAGAATGCAATACCTCTCTACACTCAAAAATGAAGGGGATTTTGTTGATAAATCAATAAATATTTGTTTTTCAAGTAAGCAAATATAATCATAGCCCTGTCTGGTCCTGAGGACTCTTCCCCAAGCCCTGCTCCTCTCCAGCTCTACTTTACACTCTTCTTGAACTGGCTGGAATATATCCTTGAACTCTGATAATGCCTCTAGTTTGTCTAGTTGATGAAAGGGGTGAGTGAGAGTGTTTTAAAACTAGCCTAGTGGACAAAGATAAAATTTACATTCATTGTTCCACCCACTTTTGTCTTTGGTGCTACCTACCACTGACACATGGCCCTCGGAAGGGAATGTGGCTCTGTCTGAAAAAAGGTGCCATATCACAAATCACTTGTTAAGCTCCCCTCGATTTCAAGCACAGTTTGCCATGTGGTTTGAGAGAATTGCTGTTACTCCTTTCCTGCTGTGATTTTGGAAATGTGTTTATAGCAGCTGAATTCTATTTTTATGGAGGCTTTTTTAAAAAAGTCCCATTACATTACATTACAGTACTGTATCCCATTTAAAATATAGCATATGCACTGTCATTCTCTATTACTGTATTTGTTTTGGTATATTGCTGTTGGCCCCCTTGAGAGGACTTGATCCAGAAAGGTGTCTTATAAAAATTTAAGGAAAATAAGCCAAAAGCTCCTGTGGGCTTATGACAATGGTTTCATAGTTATTTGGAGCTTGGCCTTTATTTCTGTAGTCTGCACTAAAGTAATGAGCCCAGAATCAATAGCAAACTCATTGTTTTTAACTACAAACTTTGTATGGTACTTATACTGCGTACCCATCCATCTTTCTTTCCTGTAGGGATACCAGACACTCCATTTAGCAAAGACAGAGATGGCCATGTCAAGCGTCCCATGAATGCATTTATGGTGTGGGCAAGAATTCACCGGCCAGCCTTAGCCAAAGCTAACCCTGCTGCCAATAATGCGGAGATAAGCGTTCAGCTTGGATTGGAGTGGAACAAACTCACAGAAGAGCAAAAGAAACCTTATTATGATGAAGCTCAGAAGATTAAAGAAAAGCACAGAGAAGAATTCCCTGGTATAAAATAGGTTTTGGTTTTTTACATGTTTCTCAACATCTGATGGTCTTGATGCAGTGCTTCGTGTTATCCAGAAATAGGTTTATGAGTGGGAAAAGGTGGGGTTCAAGGACGATACTTGAAAGGAAATACAAAAAACCCCACCACCATGCAGGAACCACGAGGCAGTATTCATTAAAGCTTTTGTCACCACCACCCCTTCTATTCCCATAGTCCAGTGGTTTTTTTCAGGCTCTGAAAGTTTAAAAACCAGTTCAGAAGAGGGAGCTGCTTAAAGGGGCTGCACTCTTTAAGTTCATGTATGCATGGATGTTGCACATGTGCATTTTTACAGCATCTGCCATTGACATTAAGTATTTAAACTGAGTACAATAGCAGATTTATTATAGCAAATGCTACTGGGCCAAGTTCAAGGTGTTGCCATTAGTATATAAAGCCCTTAACAGGATGGGACCAGTTTACTTGCAAGATCACTTTACCCTATATATGCTGAATTGACAGCTTCCACCAGTGGAACTGGCACTGTTACAGGTGCAACATAATACTTGTTCTGTAGTTATAAGAAATTGATCTTTTGATCCAGACTTTGGAACTCCCTGCTTATTAACATCAGGCAGGTGCTTTCACTGTACTCTTTTTGGTGTTCTTTCTTTGTTATTACATTAATCAGTTTTGAAATAAAATAACCCATTATATTTCAGTGAGCCTACTCTTTTATATTCCCACAGGTTGGGTTTACCAGCCACGACCTGGCAAAAGGAAGCGGTTCCCCTTGACAGTCTCCACAGTATTCTCTGGCACTACTCAGAATATCATTGCTACCAGCCCAATGACAGCCTCCACTGTCTTTACTGGGACATCTCAGAATATTATTACTACAAATCCAACTACCATTTACCCTTTCCGATCTCCCACCTACTCTGTGGTCATACCCAGCGTACAGAACAGCATTGGACACCCAGTCTGTGAGTTCATTCCAATAGTTTATGTGAGTTCATTATATGATAGGAACTACAAAAACCCAATGTCTGTATTCTTGTTGAGAGTATGATTATGTAGGATTATGTAGGAATATTTGATGATGAGATGTGGCCATAGTTTCGCGGTAGCCTTATTAATTCATTTCCAAATTAGATTAGTAAACTACAGAATGTTTTGTTTATATGTTTGTTTATTTGTTTTAATCATTCTCAAAGCAAAGTTGGGTCATTATTCTTACTAGCAAAATGTCTGTTAAGTCTGATGAGAGAAGCAAAAGCGTTTCTGTTCTCTTCTGCCTCACCACTCTCCACCCTCTCATATATCATTGACTTAATGAAGAGTAAGACACCAGGGCATGCTCACTTTTCTAAATCTAGTCCTGCCCCATGTTTCTCCATAATGAACATGGCTTGAAAGTCTTGAGGAAGGGATAAGGAACCTTCATCACCACTGAATGGATACACCACCACACTGAAGGTCTTTCAGGTTCTGTGTTTCCTCCTTCCCTTCTGAGCCCACGTCCCAGTTTTCAGATGCTGTCTTAGAAATATATTGCCCCTCCCCAACACTCTGAAGTTGACTTCAGGAGGGAAAGAAGAAGCATTATATCCCATTCCCTATGCTCAGTTATGCCAGTACTGTATCTGGAATGAGAATCAGATTTTTCTCTCTTTCAGCTGTATCACATATTGCAACTGTTTCCTTTGGTTTTTTTTAGAACTCCACGGGAACTATTAAAAACCAAGCTAGTCCCTGTCTGCACAGCCCTGTTTAGAGGTCTTTTCCTTGGTCCCATGAGACACTGTTAGGGGAGAAAATGTTGGGGACTTGATTTTATATAAAGGATTCATTTTTATGCTGATAGGGAATTGAGAGACTTGCCAAAAAGTGCCTGGAAAGTCTTTGCCTTACATGTTCAATGATAGCACACTGCATACTGGGCATCATTGTGAGGGAAACTTGTAGGAGATTTATAAAGAAAAGACATTTTTTAAAAAAGATTAACAATCTAAATATTGAATGTCTTTTTTAATGTTGCTGATTCGTGAAATTGCATCCATGGATGTCATTGGGTATGAAACTGCAGTAGGTTATGCTAGGGTTGCCATATTTCAAAAAGGGAAGATTCAGACATATGGCAACCATAGGTTATGCTATATTAAAGAAAAGCTTGAAAAATCATGAGAAATGATCCAGTGCTATTTCATGGATCATTCTTTCTATAATCACATAGTATAATATTTATAACATAGTGTTAATGGGTCCTTCTCACTTATGGCTAATACTTTCTCTTCTCCAAAGGTGAAGCCCCTTCTACTATCCAGCTGCCAGGTCCTTCTGCTCAGCATCCAGGCCCTATTACGCTGTTCCAGCCAAATGTAGGAAGCACAGCGCCACTGGCTGCCTCAACGGCAAATCTGCCAATTCGCCCAGTGCTTCAACCTCAGCGTTTTGCTGCACCTTCACCAACAGAAGCTCACCGTGTATCTTCAGGAACAAATTGCTCTATAAAGAGACCAACCCAGATTTCTATCGAAAGCGCAAGCAGGAACCCAAATAATACAAGCACCACACATTCCAGATACAGTGTCTCAAATAGTCAACCCCCTAAGGAGTACTCAGGTGTTTCTTCTTGTTCTAGAAATGGACCCATTCCTCAAGCTCCTCCCATCCCCCATCCACACGTTTATCAACCTCCTCCCATCGGTCATCCAGCCACCCTGTTCGGAGCTCCTCCTCGATTTTCATTTCATCATCCTTACTTTTTACCTGGGCCCCATTATTTCCCATCAAGGTAATGCAGCTATTTATTTTTGTTCTCCAGTAAAGGTGCATATCTAGTCAGACAACCACGGAAGGATTTGCAGACTTCTACAGGGAAAAGATTGAAAAGAACCTGTGTGAATTTCCATGTACAGTTGTACCTCGGAATTCAAACGGAATCCATTCCAGAAGTCCGTTCAACTTCCAAAATGTTTGGAAACCACAGCACGGCTTCTGATTGGCTGCAGGAAACTCCTGCAGCCAATCGGAAGCCACGGAAGCCCTGTTGGACATTTGGCTTCCAAAAATAGTTCGCAAACTGGAACAGTCGCTTCTGGGTTTGCAACGTTCAGGAGCCAAACTGTTCGAGAACTAAGCTGTTCGATTTCCAAGGTGCGACTGTATACTCTTCCTTTCTGTCCACCCTTTTTTCGTCTTTCCTCACACATTTATCCTCTATTCATTTCATTCCACTGAAACATTTCTCATCATACTTTGCAGTGACCAAAGGGCTTTTTTATAAGGGTTTCTTTTTCATTCTTGCTTTTTAAATTTGATCTGCGACCTTGACATTGTTGTTTAAACTTTTCTCCTCAACTCACTTTCCTCCTTTGAAAGGAGAACCTCTCATTCGGGTTCTCTTGACTCTTTGGTCATCTCCAGATGACCTGTTTAATGAGCATTCAGCCTGATAATGTTTGTGGGGAAATTAGATGATGTTGCATCAAACAAGTGTTATTGCAGAAGCTCCAGTCCCTTTTCACGTCACTTTCCTTATCACAAAAGGCCATCATGTTCTGCAACAGTTGGTATTCACCCATGCTTATATCAGTTTAGAAGACCTTGCTCAATGAGCCACAGTCTAAAAGCTAGGCTGATGGTTATGAAGAAGGGGGCTTTTTTTAGTGGTGGCATGGATACTGTGTAATGTTCTTACTGAGGTGGTTTATCAATCCTGCTGCTTGCTAGTATATCTGTTTGTTTGTTTGTTTGTTTGTTTGTTTGTTTGTTTGTTTGTTTCAAAAAGCTTCTAGTTAAATTGAGTATTTTGCAAAGATGTTTATTTTGATGTAGTCTTCAGTTTTACTTCACTTTTATACTGATGGTTTGTTTGCTATTTTGTGTTATGAAGTGTCGTAGAGGTGTTATGAGGTGTGGTATAGGTCAAAAGTTGAAATCATTCGTTACAAAAAAACAGGTCTGCATTAAGAGTTATGGGATGTATGTGGCTACATGGTCCTGCCCCTGGTTGTTGAACTGGACCAGATGACCTTCTGGACCAGAAAAGGGGAACATATGGTCTTCCAGGTGCTGTTGGGCTCCAACTCCCATCATGTGTAAACACTGGCCATGTTGGTTCAGACTGATGGGAGTTGGAGTCCAACAGTAGCTGGAGGGGTACAAGTTACCCACCCTGTTCTCATTGTCTCTTCTAAATTAGTTATTCTGTATAATGTACCATGGGCACACATCTTGGCTTTTTGAAACACGGCCATATTATTGTATTCTATTTACAATTGTGTCCCATGACTGAGGTAATCCCTTTATTATGGTAACTGGTTTCCAGATTTGAATACAAACAAGCTATAATATATCATTCAGTTTTATGGTAAAAGCCGTGATGTAACTCATCTTTGTCTTGCTGCAGCACATGTCCATACAGTCGCCCACCGTTTGGCTACGGAAACTTCCCCAGCTCCATGCCTGAATGTCTTGGCTTTTATGAAGACCAGTATCAAAAACACGAGGCAATGTTTTCTGCTCTGAACAGAGACTATCCTTTTAGAGAGTATCCTGATGAGCATACGCATAGCGAAGACTCCCGTAGCTGCGAGAGCTTGGAAGGGACATCCTATTACAGCAGCCACAGTCAGACTGAAGAGGAATACTTAAACCCTATGCCACAGCTGGACATTGGGGCCCTTGAGAATGTTTTTACTGCAACCCCATCCACACCCTCTAGTGTACAGCAAGTCAATGTGACTGATAGTGATGATGAGGAAGAAGGAAAGGTGTTAAGAGATTTGTAATTTAAAAAACCCAAATGATAGTATCCAGCATAATTTTTTAAAACATGAAATAAAACATGTTGGTCATATAACACTATTTTAGTGAGTGTGGTCAAGAAGACATAATTGATCCAGGTTTTAAAATTGTTATGATACATTGGAGGTTTTTCAGGGCACTGTACCATCGCAGGAGTTGTACCTTAATACACCTGATTTCATATACTTTACCCTGTCAGGGTAGGTCATAAGACTGAGCTGTTTGTATTATATGTTTGTGCACCACCTTTCTGTCAAACTTCCAGAACTTGACTGATGCACTTTATTGATACTGCACAGACACAGCAGTGATCTACCTGCACCATGCATTCAGTTTTACATGCATGCAAAGGAAAGGTGTGACTCATTCATGGAGTCAGGACATAATGCCATCAGTTTTATGTCGATGCAATGCCAGAAGCAGCAGATACATTCACCAGGCTTTTCTAGAGACTTGCCCGTCTAATCCTACATGGTACAGTAATAGGATCACTCACTTATGGGGGCAGACTTTCCTAACTCAGAACTTTTGTTATTTATGTTCCTAGATGACATAGTGGGATTTTCATTCTAATCTACATATTTATGGAGCAAGTGAAATTTTGTTTATTTTCAGGATTTTAAAATTGCTATCTTTTTTAAGCACTTGTTTCAGATTATATATATGCGCTGAAAATGGTTACATAGTAATCTGAAATTCTACAGCCACTCTTATGATTTTAACTTCCTCCTCTATAAGAGGATTTCATATTTAAAGCCCACATAAATGGGACTGTTGAATGTTTCTAAGAACAAGTAATGGTGAATCTAGCTGTGTGTTGTATACAAGTGGGCTATGATTCTATACCAGAGTATATTTAACAGTAATATCTCAGGCATACATTTTAAATGTATCTTTTGAAAAATAGATGTAACAGAAGGCAATGTTGCTAAATGTTCATGTTAGAAAACATTTTTATTTTGATATTTTTCTTTGTTTTGGGGGTGGGGTTGATAGTACATTTGTTCCATTTTTGTTACATTAAAATAAAATCACATGAACTGTATGTTGTTAGCTCTATATATTGTGATGAACTATGAATTAAGAATGTCATGATCCTATTGTGTCCATGTAATAATAAGTGAAAACACAGTAACCGCTTTAAAGTCTCTTCAGGGATATTTGCTATAAAAGAAAAGATTGGCTGCTTCAAAAGTTTATACATTCTATACATTTATGGGGTGATTTTATTATAAATTTTTAAAAATCGTTTTTAGAATGCTAGCAATGCAGACAGTACACAACCTTATGATAATATATTTCAAGGTAGCAGTCAGAACTGAAGCAGAAAAACCTAAAAGGAACAAAGAAGTTCATATACTTCACTGGTAATTTTCACTGACAATCATTGGCAGTGTCTCATCAAAATTGTGTACAGTTTGTCCTTTTGATATCTTTATGGTTTATGGTTTTACTCTATACTTTGGACCTAGCATTTCCAGTACATTGTTCCAACTGTGCTGAATATAGTTAATGTAGTTGAGGACCAGGCTTATCCATCATGAATGCTGCAACCAGACCCTCAGCTTTCCATTGTGCATGCTATGTCAATAGTGCTTTTAAGGGAAAGTCTTATTAATAGCCAAAAGCATGCCCTAGCTCCGAAACAGACTACTGGGTGAAAGATGACCTTCAAGAATTCTTGTGGGCAAATGTGCTATTTCCCACATAACTATGGCTCCAAAGTATAAAACAGCTGTCAGATTGTTCACTCCATCTGCCTTTTCCCATCTGTCCTGCCCCAATCTTTTTTCTTTTGTTTTTTAAACAAATTGCGGTATTGGCTAGCTGGAACAATATATTGGTTGACTGCAGTTTTATTAAATCCAGACTGATGTTTCAGACATAGTGCCAAACTACGCTTAGGTGCTATGTGAACGAGCCTGGCTGGACCGTTGGGCTCACACGACCCCCCTCCTCCCTTTGCATGTTTCCATTCCTTCCCACATTTCCTAGTTTGAGGCAAACTGTAGCTTGCCATTTCACTTGAGCTAGCAAAGCATGGTTTCTGCTATGCAGACCAAGACTGGAAGCCACAGTCCACCCTGGTTTCCACTTTGGGGCAAGTGCAAACTATAAGTGTGCTGGTAGGACTATGCTTTGGCTCAAACCAAGAAAGATAGGAGGAAATCACACACAGGGAAGGGAGATGGAGGAAAGAGACTCTGAACTGTGAAAAAGTCACTGCCCTTTCCTTGTTTTCACAGTATTTTGAGATCGCATTTGACTCTTTTAAGGACTCAGATCTCATTTCCATCGAATATTTCCCTGTTCCTGTTAGTTTTTAAGAGTTTCATGCAGCAATCTTTCCTAGCTGCATCTGGGCATGCCAGGGATGGAGACTGGAATATTTTACATGAAAGTAATATGACTGAGGCATGTGGTGGCTGGTGCCCATTGGAACTTGTGGGACGCAGGTGGTGCTGTGGGTTAAACCACAGAGCCTAGGGCTTGCCGATCAGAAGGTCAGCGGTTCGAATCCCTGTGACGGGGTGAACTCCCATTGCTCAGTCCCTGCTCCTGCCAACCTAGCAGTTTGAAAGCACGTCAAAGTGCAAGTAGATAAATAGGTATCGCTCTGGCGGGAAGGTAAACGGTGTTTCCGTGCACTGCTCTGGTTCGCCAGAAGCGGCTTAGTCATGCTGGCCACATGACCCGGAAGCTGTGCGCCGGCTCCCTCGGCCAATAAAGTGAGATGAGCACCGCAACCTCAGAGTCGGTCACAACTGGACCTAATGGTCAGGGGTCCCTTTACCTTTGCCTTAATATGACTGAGGCATGTAGGCAGTGGTGGCTGGTGCCCATTGGAACTTGTGGGGCTTAAGGGAGGGATGCCAGCAGTAAGTGGAGCTAGAGTCAGTGGCAGGCAGAGCCAACTACTAGTTTTGCTGCCCCCCCCCCCCGCTGAATTGTACAAAGGTAACATAGACTAAGAAGAAAAGAGTTGACAGCCTGTCCTACTGACAGGATTGGTTTGCAGGAAGGTAAGCTTATGGGGGTTGGCTGAGGGTGAATTGAGGTTGGTGGGGAAGTGCCCCATTTTCCCCAATAGTCCAGCCTCCTCTGTCTTAGGTATGGTGCAAACATTTGCTGCTTTTGCCTTATATTGCTCCTGGTCAAATGGGTTTTGCAGGTTCCCCGAGCACTACAAAACACAGCCAAATCTGTTTACCACAGACAGCAGTGTTAGGAATGGACACACCATGGTTAAGAAAACCAACAGTGCTTTCCCCACCCGCTTTCAGCTCTGAAATTACTACTATCTGTCTTCAGCCAAAGTGATGGGGAAAGTTTTACCAGCTAAATATCTGTGTCCATTGACTTTTAAGGCACACAACCAGTAAAACAACAACAAAACCCTTAGCAACCATATTAAATGCATGTATTGAGCAGCCTTCTCCATTATGACAAACAGTGAAGCGCGATCACACGAAAGCTCTGCCATGCACTTTTAAAGCCAAGGTCTGGTTGGGGGGGAAGGTTAATACTTTCCCTCACTGTAGTATATATATGCAAATCCAGGAAGTGGGTGGCACTGTGGTCTAAACCACTGAGCCTCTTGGGCTTGCTGATCAGAAGGTCAGCAGTTCGAATCCGCGCAACAGGGTGAGCTCCCGTTGCTCTATCCCAACTCCTGCCAACTTAGCAGTATGAAAGCATACCAGTGCGAGTAGATAAATAGGTACCACTGTGGCAGGAAGGTAAATGGTCTTTCTGTGTGCTCCGGCTTCTGTCACAGTTTCTGTTGTGCCAGAAGTGATGGCACATGACCGGAAAGCTGTCTGCAAACAAACATCAGCTCCCTTGGCCTGAAAGCAAGATGAGCGCCGCACCCCATAGTTGTCTTTGACTGGACTTAACTGTCCAGGGGTCCTTTACCTTTTACCTTTTTACATATGCAAATTTCATTTGAAAGAGTGGCTAAACTTTTACAGATTTTTGTTTGTTTGTTTTCAAATACACAGTATGAAAATAGTTTAAATTGGTCCAGGAGTTGAACCTTTTGCTTATTACCTCAGGTAGGAGTATTTTGGTATCTTCAAGACTAACAAATTGCATGGCATAAGCTTTTGTAGGCCAGAGGCTCAGAGCCAACATTATCAGTTGCAGGACAACAGCTTCACCTGAAGTGGCTATGAAAACTAATGCCACAATATGCCTCTAGAATCTGTCATCTCCAGAGTAGTCCAGCAACTGTATTTGCCTGCTCCCAATGCAAGGTATAAACACAAAATATAATTTGTGTGGCACTGTAATAAGAATGGGCAAGTGACACCCCCAATCCTGATCATCCTAAAACAGTTGTAGGGAATTTTTGGCCCTTCAGATGTTGCCTAAGGAAGTTTTTAGAGATTAGGGACATCCATGTAACTCTGAACTACTTTTTAAAATCAGCAGGAGAGAGTTTAACATTATAGGTAGGAGGTTTTGACTGCTTCTGCACCTATGCTTTCAACAGCAGCCTGATAAACAATTGTTTTAGTTCACAGATGAATATTTCCTGGCTTGAAGTGGTGGGGAAATGTTTACCTGCTAGATTTGTGTGTGTCAGGTTGCAGCTGCAGGCAGAGGAACAGGGTCAGCAAAAATGTTTAAATCAGGGGCAGCTGTTGACTTTTGGGTTTGTGCAGCTGCAATTTTTTAAGCTCCTTCCCTTGCACACATTAAGCTGCATACAGTGCTTACAAAGGAAAAAGTACATTTAAACATGTGCAGATGTCACTTTTTTTTTCACTGAGAAACATCAACTGTTTTCTGTAACCCATTGGATAGAGGGAAAGACTTCCATGTGGGAGGGCATTAATATATGTTCCAGACAAAGATGAACTCCAGTTACTCGAATTCGGAATTAATTTGCCATTCAAATTCATGAATATCACTTCACAAGTTTCTGAATCCATCCATTTTTAAGGGGGATGCAAACACACCCATTGGCAAAAGATTT